TCCACGGCACTGGCTTTACTGACTGAAATAAGACCAAAAGCTGAGCATGCTTAAAAACTGCATTCGTAACAACTAAATGTACCACGAGTAATGAGTGTTGTCAAAGGTACGCGACGGACCCAGATGAGCACTGAGGATCCACAGCTTGCAGCAATAAGGAATTTAAGATCCGACGACGTGACGGTAACGCTAAGAGCATAAGAAATAACCTATTACAGTGCATCATACGTCTTCGTCCACTTTGCTGTTCGTTTTTGCTCGACTTCGACGTGAAATTGCTTAATTTTACGTTTTATGGAGGACGTAAACAGGCGACGACGAAATTTTATATGTCTCTTTCTGGCTTGGATATGGTCTCTTGAAATTTCACCCACACTTGACAATTGTAGGAATAATCGCAAGTAAGACTGAAAGAACGCATATTCACTTTTTAAGCCACGTTTTCTTTGCCATCGCGTCCTTGGATCTTAAAGTCCCTAATACAGCTGTTTGTTTGTCTAAGTTTTGTCTTCGTACGACCTCAAGCTTTCGTTAGTCCCAAAACTTGCTATTACCATGAGTAATTACACTGTTATAATCTTAGTTAATATTTATGTAGTTTTGTGGAGAACTATTCGGTCCTCTTCCGCTCAAGCTCGATCTTCCAGTGTGCCAATGCGTGAACGATCATTGTTTTGCTTCTTAGCATTTTTCATTTCTACTTAAAATACTGAGATGAGAAACTATGCAGACTCATAGATACATAGTTTATATTTCAACGGCTGTATTTGTCCACGAATAATGAACAACAAGCATGCTAGTTCTCGTATTATTATAGAAGTGAATACTTCTCATTAGAGACATAAAACATCTCGGAACTTAAACTCCCGTTAGAAAACAGTATACTGTAAGAAAATTATCACGGATAATGAACATTTTTATTTTACGTGTTATTATCCGTGTGGATGAGCAAAAATCCATAGCACACTTTGTTTGTAGGATTTTTAGATTGTCCCTGATCTGACCTTGCAGATATGACGTGCTGAAATCATCACATCAGTAACAAGCATTCCTTACTCCCAAGTGTAACTGTCGTTTCACTCCTTTTATTCAAATCCATTATTATTTTGCTAGAAAGAAACCTTGATGTATCATACTTAGGAGCAATAGTATTTAAAGGAGTAAATAAATCAGAAAGAGAAAACCTGTGAAACTGGGAGAATCACGCCGTTGTCCTGTAGGTTAAACCCTGGCTCTTAAGTATCCGTATCGTGGTATCGAGAACGAATGAGCCTAGCTTCCATTTTTTTCTTTGCTGCTGGATATTTGAAATGATGGTGGGAAGTTCCTAGTCACCGTATCGACGCTGGAATCTTTACTATGACTTACTGTATAAAATCAGGCTGTTTAAACAATGCACAACAAAAACAGATTTTCCGCTTCTGAAAGAGGGCGAGTCAATTACTAGTCTAACTAAACATCAGTCGACGAATGATTAGTTTGAGAAGTAAACCTATTATGCTAATGCTTGATTTCTTCCAACAATAACCAAATGAAGAGGAAACAGGGAAAATATAATTCTAATCACGAAACAATGTAAAGGTGGAGAAAACAGTTCTCGGAAAGTCACCTTTGCACTCAATAGTAAGGTCGTCTTTTTGGCGCCGATTTGAAGTTCTGGTACGTTAAATATCTAACGTCAGGGTTTATCAAAGAGATAGATTGACGTTAACTTGGTTTTTGAACTAAGTTTTCTTTCACATGAAATTCCCATAGCGAGAAAATAAAGTAGAAGAAATAGATGCAGTAGCTCGTACAACTAAATTAAATTGTAAATTCAAATCAAACCCTCGTTGAAGTCATCCCGCGTGTCTCTCTGTGACACTCAAATTAGTGCAGGACAGACAATTCCCTGTACCTCGAGACTTGTAAAGGACAGTGACTAAATCATGTCACCTACTTAGCAATTCATGCTTTTTTTCATATATTTTTAGAGGAGGGAGAAGACAATTATCCGCAGCTGGCAGATTTTTCATTGAAGGAGTCCTTGAGGCCAAAACTTCGTATCATATGACTAACGTAACAGGCCTTTTGCATTAGTTGATGATGTGATTAACTTTCTGTAAACACAAAAAACAACTCACTTTAGGAAAAGTTTGTTAGCACGAACTGAAAGAGCATATTAAAATTGGTTAACCTGTAAATTTTCAGCCGTATATCTCAAACGTAGCTATTGCAACGGCCGCCGAAAATTAGAAGGATTTGTATGGGAAAAACAAAGTTGCCACCCAGTTGATCACGCGGCCAAAAGGCCTATTTCGGGGAAAAGCCTATTGCGTTGACACAGCAACACTTAAGCGTTCCACAGAGTCTTGTGTTTGCTTCTCCTACAAATTTTATCACCTGCAGGTTTGCCAATTACAAAAGTATAGAATGCCTATCACAAGAGCAGAGATTCAACGCGAGACAAATGTGCAGATTGAAAATTATGGCACCAAGTTTGATGTTCGTCGAACAAACGTCCATCGATACACAAACATCTTCATCCATGAAAGTAATCCATTCTATCCATATGAAACGCTACCAGTTTATTGTGTGTCGCCATTATGGTTTGCTGCAGTGGGATTTCTGTGTAGCATGGGTGGAGCTGCTAATCTAACTGCTGCAATAATTGGCTTGATTTTTGATGTACCATTCCTTGCAACGTATTGCCAAAATGAGGTTGTGAACCGTAGATCGCTACCGATTGTCAAGAAGCAAAAGACTGTGGACAACCTTCCAACGCTCAACGCCTTATGGGAGGTTACCGTGGAGGAATTGAGAGGAATTGGTATTTCCACGGATAATGTGGAGATTGGTCTTCAAGTGATGCAGTCGGGCAAATTCAAATTACAAGTCTTCCATCCGGCAGCGTTCAAAATAATGGATAAAGCGAAAGGCACGTCACGTTTCTTGCTTACTGGGTTCGCTGTTGCTGCACTCTACAACATTATCTGTATTATCGTACATTCCTTGATATAAGGAGAAATTGTACGTGTAATGCTTATATCCTGACTGCAGAACAAATGTTAGCGTGTAGGATAGGCTACAAGGTATAAATAACGTTCTCACATCTGAATGGCTGACAAGTTTTCGCGGAAATACGCATTAACGTAAACATACTCTAGCGATAAACACATGCCAGATATTTTCAAAATGTGCGTATTTCATAATAAGTTCGAATAAGCAGAAGTGGTTGAAATAGAAATTACTTGTTTCAGAGCATTTATTGCACTGTAGAATATGACACACAACAGTTCTTGACAATATCCGTGTATGTCATAGCATTCTTGTGTCTTGAAGCTTCCGATAAATGGATCAGTGCAGCAAAAGGTTTGCAGTTACGGATAAATAACAAAACCCCTGAGCAGCATATATATGTTTTGTGTTTTGAGAGAGGCTACTGCACTTTAGATAAATGTAGATCTTTAATTTGGCAACCTTACCTACTCGCAAACAAAAGAAAAGAGTATTGTTTTATGCTACAAAAGCAGCTAACAGAGTAAGGTGTTAAAAAGATTAAATGAAATTAAGTACTGCGCATGTCATTCAACTTTGAGAGCTATTAAAGTATCCTGTATGTATCTTTAATAGAATGCATATTTAGGTTGTATCGGACCCATAGCCCTTAGTTAACAGTTCTGGGCTATATCCCCTTGTTCAGAGTCTGAGATGAACTTCAGCGTTATTACTTTCATTTTTTGGATTGGTTAAATGCACTTCCGGGCTTCGCTCTGTAAAGATGAACTGTAGGTAATGCACATTGTTCGAGAAACCGAACAAGGAAAAACGGATGTGCACTCGTGTGGCATGTTTAGGAGTGATTAAATTAATGTAAACTTTATTTTGGGTGGGTTCAAAACTTAGTTACGTCATGTACTCTCTTCAATGGTAACTACAAAAGGGATAATTAAGAGCTCCCGATTTTTACCGTTACATGGCTGTTAGTGGTCATTGACTCTTTCTGTAACTCTCCTTCCATTTCACTATACGGACCGAAGATCTTTCATTTTTCTTAATTTTACTCCTGTAGCTACAACTGAGTAGGCCATCCTCCATCTAGACAATAAAGGCCCGGTCAGATGAATATCCTCATTTTATATTAATTTAGGTTTCCGCAGTTCTGTACAGTACCACAAATGATCCCCAGACCGCAAATGAACCCCAAAATGGACCCCAAATGATCCTCGATCGCAAATTATCCCGTGAAAAGTAGAGGAGTTGAATGGATTTTTGGAATGAATGGTGAATGGTGCTGAGAACTTGCACAACGAATAAAGCAAGTGAAATAATAAAATTATAAATAGCCGTTCCTTTCTTTTAGCTTCGGATGTTTCGTTGTTGTCACAATTTAGGACAGGAAGGATGTCAAACAGAAACATTTATTTTAATGCTGAGGAATACGGAATACTAGCAGCTCCATCTAGTGAAAATGTCACGTCTAACTTGTTGCTTGAGACAGTCAGACAAAGATTCAAAATCAGGGAATGAGAAACTGCGAAGGAACGAGCCAGCGTAAATTTTTGTACCTATATCAGAATTCTCATAAGTCAATGGGGGCTACACCAGAGCGAAGCTTATTTTGGGTCGGTTTCAGAGAGCTCGCCGCCACTAAAATGATCATCCTCTGAGGTTGATACTGATCGAGTATCCGAAAACAAGTCTGATTTCAGAGACATTTTCTCGTAAAAATAGAACATCTTATTTAACTTCAGTATCTTGGCGTTTTGCTTAAATGTTAACCAGTAAATCAAGCAAGACTCTACATTGCTATTCAAGAGCTATTTTCTTGTTTTACTGATACTTTTTAAGTTTATTTCAGATTTTGTTGTTTGCATTTATGTTTGTTTCATTCATTGAACATGATTAAGTCAGTTTAAATGTAGTTTTACAGTTGATTCCTTTTTCGCAAATATTTTAAAGAAAAATGTGTTCAGTTAAATACTTTTTGTCATGATAATAAACTAGAGACGATGATCCAGTAACTTTAATCCTATTCATTTTCCTCAAGGAATCATTTGCGGTTGGACAAGTTGGATCACTTGGGGTCGTGGATCATTTGCGGTCTATTTTGGGGATCAATAGCGTTACTGTACAGGTCACCTCATCTTCATTTCAACACATAATCAAGCAAAAAGGTTACAAAAACTAGTAAGTCGATCATCAAAGGAAACAAAGGAAATCGGTCGTAAGATTAGTGTGGACATCAAGGATGACCACGTAAGTTTCACTGTTGCTCATCAACTGATTTGTCAGGGACGTGACGTGACGCGTCTCTAGTGCGCGTTCCTCCGCACTAACCGCACTCGACCGTTTCATGTGCACGCGAAACACATAGAATAAATTAATATAGCATTGGTTGGGGCAGGGACTGCAGGGACTCAATTTTACCAAATATTTTTCGCTCCAAACAACAGGAGCGTCGTTCCCACAGGGCGAATTGCCTTATATGGCCAACGGGAACCGTCCGCTGACCAAGGTATTGTGGCATCAGGAAATGAGATTGCTCTAAGACTTGTTTTGCAGCTGCTCGTGTGTAAATCCCGCGTGCGTGCCCGAAATCTTGACGGAAACGAATAAGTATCAGCGTCTTTCTTGCAAGCCTAATCATTTTGCGGAAGCTCTCTCAAAAGTTTTTTTTTTTTTACACTTTCACTATCATTGCTGTCTTCTAACTTGATTCTTATTTCTTGAATCATTTTCGCTTATGCTTTTTTTCTTCTCTTATTAATCCAGACTAATAATAAACAATTATTGGACGAGGTCTTTCTGGTATCCGGAATAGTCAAGGTTGAGGTAAGTGTTATCAGCCGAGCCGAAGGCCGAGGCTCACCTGATAACGCTTACTGAGACGGCCTTGATTATTTAGGATATAACAAAAACCGAATATAATAATGGCTTTATTATACATTGTTTTGACGAAAACAACGACAAACACACCGTCGCAAGGAACCTAAATTGATACTGTTATTGGAAATGATACATTTCGCTCGCAACCTACAGCTAAGTCAGTTATCTGCTAGCAGATAACTAGCCGATCTGTAGGTTGCGTTGATTTCCAAAATTAGCTGTAGGCTCTTAGCCAATGAAAAGACAGATAGTGAGTACAATGTGTAATAACCAATAGGATCAGCCTGAGCACTATCATATATAGCACAGTAGCTGAAGTGTTGTTTTCTGATCAAATCGTTACGATCTGAGATACCCTTTAGGCCTAAAACATCATCGCTTCGGGAAATATACTTGGTTTTCGTACAGGCAATAAAAGGTTTCTTGCTTTACTATCTGTATTATTTAGTTAACCAGGGTGATCTGAAAGTTAATCTTTTATTTCCTTACAAACATGTCATTATCCTTTTCTAGATCAGAAGTTAATGGCCCATGGGGGTGAATAAAAGTCTGCAAATAGCAATCGGTACTTCGAAGGTTTTCGTGGTTTACGAGGAGATCTTCGGGCCCTGATATTAATGACTGTCATGTACACCGTTGTTCTTTCAGGGGAATCGGGAAATCGGAGGCTTTCCTTGTTTTCAACCAGTTGACAGAAAATGCTAAGAGTTCCACTCTTACGAAGAAGGACTTGTTTGGTTTGTGATAATATGGTGAACCTTGTCGCAAATATAGCGGTATGAATCCTTCATCGAGGTTCGTGTCACTGAAGAAAAACCACCACATACGTAAGAGAATAATTACAATATCGTCGAAACTTCGACAATGTTAAATAAATGTATTGCGTGTTGAAATGAGAAATATTAGGAGAAAACATCAACGACATCAACCTGATGGATTGTGCAACCCAGGAATACAATGCAAAGAAAACAAATCAGACCCATATTCAATCGTGCTTCCCGTAGATTTAGATGAAGTCAGAATGACAACATCATGATGCCCATGCGCCTTAATCGTGTCTTGATCCACCGTGGTCCACGAATCTCAGCTCGGACATGGATCGTGTCCAGCACAAGGAAAGCGTTTCTTGATAAAAAAAAAATATATGTTTGCTTTTCTATTTGTAAGAGAGTTGAAATTGAAATGTGAATCTCATTTCGACCTATATTTCACGTTGATGACGACACAAATGACCATAGACTGAACTAAACTGTTTTCTGTTGATCGCTATATGTATACTGTAGTTCACTTGGCAAAGAACGCGAAACTGAGACCTACCAGCATGTTGATAGTACGATGAAAAGACCTCAGCAAGAGTAGATGATCGCGTCGAATTTCTTGACAGCCGTGTTGCCAAATGAAGGGTTTTTAGAAGTGATAAAAATATACTCATTGCTCTTAAATAAAGTTGTAACGTTTACCGCGGTGGCAAAAGTACGTAACGAAAAAGGTATTTGACAGCTAGACCCAACAGCAAGGAATTAAACCAGGGGCGGATCTAGGGGGAGGGTGCAAGGGGTGCGCACCCCCCCCCCCCCCCCCCGCGCGCCCCCGGGTTTTTAAAAAACACCGTATTCTGCCCAAAAAAAAAAAAAAAAAAAAAATAAACGAAATAAAGTGGAAAAAAAAAAAAAAAACCCCCCCAAAAAAAACCAAACAACCGACCCCCCCAACAAAACACACAAAAAAACAAAACGAAGTAAAACACGAGAGGAAAAAAAAAAAAAAGAAAAAAGCAAGATGATATCCCCCCCCCCCTCCCCTGAGATGACCTGCGGTTTTCTAATACAACTGGTATTCTGCCAAAAAAAAAAAAATGTGAATTATTGGTGTTGAAGTAGAGGAAGAGACGAGTGCACCCCCTCCTAAAAAAACTCCTGGATCCGCCCCTGTAAACAAAGTGCACAGTTCTAATCAAGCGAGGTTTAGAAAAGTGGTAAAAAAAAGACTGAGAGAGTTGGTTGCTAAGATGAGCCTACCCTCATCTCTCCTCTGCAGATGCTCCCGCTGCTTATCCAAATGAATAGAAATAAAGTATTTAAGAAACAATGAGTAAGAAGTAGTAAGCGGCGTCATTAAAATCGCAATGTGAGATTTATGAGAAATAGGAAGAAATTAAGAAACCAAAAGAAATCGGATCGCTAACTGGAATCAAATCACATTGAAAAATGTGAAGACAGTTTATTTCCGTTTCGGTAATACATGTTAAACAACGATTAAGATTAAAACAGAGCACTAGATTTATACTTAGTTTTGCAATAATTTTAAACATGTGTACTCTGCACCATGTTTAGCATCTTGTTATTGATATACTGACCTGTTTTGAGTTACAGGCATTTCAACGAGTTCATCTGACTTCTGGTAATTCTTGGAAACAAACAAAGATTGACGTGATTTTCATAAAAGGCTTTCGATATTGTAAAATAAGACTTGTTAGCCATGTATCGACATTTATAAAATAACTAAGATAGTACGCGCGCTCTGATTGGCCGAGTGTTTGCGTGAGAGTATGTAAACATGGTTGTGGCGTCAAGATGTTTTGCTTTTCGCGTGCTAATCACGCAAGCACGAATTTGAAAAAGTTTTCGAGTTAAAAACTCGACAAGTTTACTTTATTTACCCATTCCTTCGTCGGCTGAAACTTGGAAAATCGTTACAAAGAAGGTGTGTGAATTTTTTTCGCTTAAGCTGACATTTTAAGCGAGACAAGTCCGTATTTTGGAAAGCATCTTTTTTGCAAAACGAGAACTGATTACGCGTGCAAGACTTTGTGACTGGTAAGAATTTCTCTTTTAATCAGTGCCATAGAAAGAGTTTTGCGTCTTTTCTCTGGAAAGTCATTGTATAAAAGCAATAGAAAACTTTTTTCCTGTGTTTGCATAGCCTGATATAAACACTCGAGGCGCTGGGAGAATTCTCGACCGTTATGCAGACCCTCAACTTCGTCTCGGGTTTGCATATTTATCTCGAATTCTCCCAACCCCTCTCGTGTTTATACCAGGCTATGCAAACACGGAAAACGTTTACTATTGCTTAAATGCCAAGCATTTCGGTGGATACTATTTGTTAGCATTATCAAGATGATAACGTTAATCCCTGTTTACTACTTTGCCATCTTCCTCCAGCTAAACGTAGTTGTTGGTATTTTCTGCAACTACAAAAACTGCAAAGACTGCGCCTCCAATACCTCTTTAGGCAAAACGTGCAGATGGTGTAGAAGGGACAACAAATGCCATGTCGTTGGCTCCCCCACAACAAAGTGCAAGAGGGCGGAAAATATCGTCGATCCGTCTCGTTGTGGAGAAGAATTGCCCCAATACAACCCTGAATTGTCTTTAAAGATGTTGCTCCTTTCCGCTGCGGCGTATGATCCAAATCATCCCCAGAAATGCCTCGACAACTCTTTGCCATCTGACGACTTTCAAATACAGCATACTGTAACAAAGAAATGTGATTTCCTTGATAACCAGTGCTCTTGCTATGTTGCTGTTTCCCATACCGTGAACGTTATTGGCATTGCTTTTCGCGGCTCCGAATGTTTCGAACAAGCATTCATTGAGTTTGTAGAGGGTTTAGTTAGCCCTAAGGAAGCTTTTTTAAGCAATGGTGAAGTTCAAACCTACTGGAAAAGAGGCTTCGAGAAGTTATGGCCGAGCATGGAATCGAAAGTGAAGGCTCTCATCGCTGACAATCCATCCTACAAAATTTGGGTTACAGGGCATTCTCTGGGTGGCGCAATGGCGTCCTTGGCGAGCACATGGCTCAGATATTACAATGTTGCTTCTCGTGATAAAATCGTATCGTACACGTTTGGAATGCCTCGAGTTGGAAACTATGACTACGCTTTGCAACACGATCAGCTTGTTAGCAACACCTGGAGAGTGGTTAATAAAGATGACGCTGTTCCTCATTTCCCAAGCTTAGCCTCCCTGAGCATCCTAAACGGTCCATACCACCATGGAGTAGAAGCTTTTTACAGCGAGCCGGCAACAAGTGTGTATTCAAAGCACAGGGAATGCCACGAAAGACCATTCAACGAGGACGTCACTTGTAGTTTCTCGGAAATACCGTCCTTCAAACGACACAAAAACTACTTCGGCATTCCTGTGGGGACATTCTGGGAGAAAGACTGTGTTCACTCGACACGTAAGAAACGCGAAACGCCAGGAAAATATAACAACACTCTTGCAAGAGATCCGCGCTGCTCGAAGAAAAACACGAAAGAGGCTCGGTCCTCTTCCGCCCGAGCTCGATCTTTCAATATGTCACAGTTTGAGCGATCCTTTTTCTGTTTCGTGGTATTTTTCATTTCTACTACCTTAGAATAAATGAGAAACTACGCAGACTCTTAAATATATAGTCCATATTTCAGTGGCGGTACTGATTTGTCCACGAAGAAAGTTAACCGCAGTACAAGTAATGATCAATAACCATGCTAGTCCTCGTATTTTTATAGAATACTTCTCAGTAGAGACATAAAGCATCTCGCAACTAGATTGAAAACAGCACTGTAAGAAAATTATCACGGATAGTGAACATTTTTATTGTACTTTTTGTTAACCGTGTGGATGAGCAAGACTCCACAGCACTTTGTTTGTGGGATTTTTACTTTGTCTGACCTTGCAAACATGACTTGCTGAAATCATCACTTAATAAGCATTCCTTAGTCACAAGTGTTACTGTCGTTTCACTCCTTTTATAAAAAGTATTCAATGGAAGTTTGACTTGCTGTTAGTAGGTGAATAAATAGAAAGAGAAAACCCTTGAAACTGAGAGGTAAATCACGCCGTTGTCCTGCAGGTTAAACCCTCTTAAATATCGGTATCAAGAATGAATGAGCCTTCGCTGCTGGCTATATGAAATGATGGTGTAAAGAATGCACAACAAAAATAGCTTTTCCGCTACTGTAAGAGGGCAAGTCAAGTAGGTCGAGTCCAACTAAACATCAGTCGATGAATGATTAGTTTGAGAAAGTAAACCTATTAGGGAGAGTGCAATAATTATCAGGAGGGGGCGGCGAAAGAACTAGAGTTATCTACCAAAAACTTAGACAGTACCCCCCTCAGAAACCAAAGAAATTAGTTGTAATCCCCCTCTGTTATGTTAAAAATAACGTCGCACCCCCCTCCCACCACCCACCCACCCACACACACATACCCACCCCTCACCGCCACCATTACCATAGATGCCTTTAAGTAAATACCTTTTAAATTGTCACTCTATATTCTCATCGCCTGATTGAAGATTTAGACAAAGCATTTGCTAAGTACTGTGGTGCTTACCACATTGGCTCAAAATCTAAAACTTCTGAAGCCACAAAGAGAAAGGAGCAGAGAAAAAAAATCAAAGAACAGGAGATTGAACGCTTCAAATAACAGACGAAAAAGAGCTTGCATTATATTTAGATCCTTGGGAGGAGAGCCTGTTGAACTTTGTTATGAGCCAGATATATACGGAATTCAGCAAATCGATTCAGTCGATGAAGAAACATTACTTTTATTCACATCAAAAACCAACAAAGCTTGTCTACGAGATCTGTTTGATTCCCATTGTTTTATGGGGGAAGCTGAAAAACAAGTTCATGATTTTTGCTTTACATAGGATCAGCTCAATTAATTAGAAGACGGGTTAAAATTGATCAGTTGTGAATTTGCTTCTCATTTTGATGGAATATTTTCAATAATCGTTTAACAGCTGTTCGTATTGATATTTGTTACAGTCTATCATGATGCCTGTATTGAGAATCTTTTATTGCGTTTAATTTTATTTACATTTCGAATAAAACTTAATTACCCCCCTCCGTCAAATGAGTGATTTTACTTTGAGCCCCCTCTGTCTTGGCATCAATTTTATGTAATGCCCCCCCTCTAGTTTTTCAGCCCTCCCCCCCGCCCCCACTCCTGATAATTATTGCACAGTCCCTTATTCTAATGCCTGATTTCTTCCAACAATAACCAAATGAAGAGGAAACAGGGAAAATATAATTCTTATCACAAAAACAGTGCAAAGGTGGAGAAAACCCCAGGGGGGGTACTTGGGATTTCAAGTGACGGTGATGATCGAAGGATTTTTTGGGGTTTGAAATTTTCGATTCCGGGATTTTTTTGGGTAGGAAAATTTGGCAAGTATTTTTTGGGGTAGCTTGATTTGAGTAGGGATTTTTTGGGGGTATTAAAAAGAATCGGTTGTGCCCTGGCTGCGTAGTTCTGCGAGTAAAGTACAAACAAACGTGTTTTGCTGTTGTTTAATAGTTAACTATGGTGTCGCTTTACATCGCACGTGTTATACAATAGTCTGCATTTTTGGTCCAGGGATTTTTTTGGGTTTTGCTGGAAGCCCTAGGGATTTTTGTCGGTCTTGAATTTGGTTCGATTCGATCATCCCTGCCACTTGAAATCCCGAGTACCCCCTCTGGGGAGAAAACAGTTCTCGGAAAGTCACCTTTGCACGCAATAGTAAGGTCGTCTTTTTGGCGCCGATTTGAAGTTCTGGTACGTTTTAAAATATCTAACGTCAGGGTTTATCAAAGAGAGAGATTGAAGTTAACTTGGTTCTGGAACTAAGTTTTCTTTTACATGAAATTCCCATAGCGAGAAAATAAAGTAGACGAAATAGACGCAGTAGCTCGTACAACTAAATTAAATTGTAAATTCAAATCAAACCCTCGTTGAAGTCATCCCGCGTGTCTCTCTGTGACGCTCAAATTAGTGCAGGACAGACAATCCCCAGTACCTCGAGAATTGTAAAGGACAGTGACTAAATCATGTCACCTACTTAGCAGTTCATGCTTTTTTTCATGTATTTTTAGAAGAGGGAGAAGACAATCATCCGCAGCTGACATATTGTTCTTGGAAGGAGTCCTTGAGGTCAAAAATTCGTATCATATGACTAACGTAACAGGCCTTTTGCATTAGTTGATGATCTGATTAACTTTCTGTAGACACAAAAAACAACTCACTTTAGGACAATTTTGTTAGCACGAACTGAAAGACCTTTCTAAATTTAGTTAACCGGTAAATTTTCAGCCGTATATCTCAAAAGTAGCTATAGCAACGGCCGCCGAAAATTAGAAGGATTTGTATATGAAAAACAACTTTTGCCTCCCAGTTGATCACGCAGCCAAAAGGCCTATTTCGGGGAAAAGCCTATTGCGTTGACACAGCAACACTGTGCGTTCCACAGTGTCTTGTGTTTGTTTCCCCTACAAATTCTATCACCAGCAGGTTTGCCAATTACAAAAGTATAGAATGCCTATCACAAGAGCAGAGATTCAACGCGAGAGAAATGTGCAAATTAAAAATTATGGCACCAAGTTTGATGTTCGTCGAACAAACGTCCATCGATACACAAACATCTTCATCCATGAAAGTAATCCATTCTATCCGTATGAAACGCTACCTGTTTATTGTGTGGCGCCATTATGGTTTGCTGCAGTGGGATTTCTGTGTAGCATGGGTGGAGCTGCTAATCTAACTGCTGCAATAATTGGTTTGATTTTTGATGTACCATTCCTTGCAACGTATTGCGAGGGGGGCGTAAGGGTTTGCGGTGATGCGGTTTTGCGTTATTTTTGGTGCGGTTTTGCGGTAATTTTTATTTTAACTTGCGGTATTGCGGTTTCAAAACACTAAGCGGTTTGCGGTTATTACAACCTTTAAGTCGCGGTTTTCGGTGAAAAAAAAAGTGTCTGCGGTGATAACACTCTTTAGAACGGTCGGCATCCGGTTGTTTTGCAAGCGCTTTTGTTTTACAACGCATCAGGGTTCATTATATCAGCTTACAATTTAACTCTGTGGTTTGCAATTACGGCCTTTTCCAGTTAATACTTAATGTGATTAACCGTTTTGGCCAATGATGCGTCGACTTCGTGAATTTCCCGGTATTCGGGAAAAAATCCGATGCGGTTTGCGGTTTTTTGGCGTATTTCTGTGCGGTTTTGCGGTTTTCGGACCCCCCTTACGCCCCCCTCTATTGCCAAAATGAGGTTGTGAACCGTAGATCGCTACCGATTGTCATGAAGCAAAGGACTGTGGACAACCTTCCAACGCTCAACGCCTTATGGGAGGTTACCGTAGAGGAATTGAGAGGAATTGGTATTTCCACGGATGATGTGGAGATTGGTCTTCAAGTGATGCAGTCGGGCAAATTCAAATTACAAGTGTTTCATCCGGCAGCGTTCAAAATAATGGATAAAGCGAAAGACACATCACGTTTCTTGCTTACTGGGTTCATTGTTGCTGCACTCTACAACATTATCTGTATTATCGTGCATTCCTTGATATGAGGAGAAATTGTACGTGTAATGCTTATATCCTGACTGCAGAACAAATGTTAGCGTGTAGGATAGGCTACAAGGTATAAGTAACGTTCTCACATCTCAATTGCTGACAAGTTTTCGCGGAAATACGCATTAACGTAAACATACTTCTACCCGATAAACACAACCTCTGCATGCCAGATATTTTCAGAATGCACGTATTTCTTGATAATTTCGACTAAGTAGAAGTGGTTGAAATAGAAATTACTTGTTTTAGAGCGATTATTGCACTGTAAAATATGACACACAACAGTTATTGACAATATCCGTGCATGTCATAGCATTCTTGTGTCTTGAAGCTCCCGATGAAAGGGTCAGTGTAGCAAACGTTTTACTGATATGATCAACAACAAAACCCCTGAGGAGCATGTATATAATTGTGTTTTGAGGGAGGCTAGCCTACTGCACTCTTCATGAGTGTAGATCTTTGGTAACATTATCCACTCTCAAACAAAAGCAGCTAACGAAGTAAGGCGGAAGACGGTGCCGTAAATAGATTAAATGAAATTAAGTATTACGGATTTCATGGTAACTTTTTGAAAGCTATTGAAGTATCCAGTATGTATCGTTAATAGAATGCATATTTAGGCTTTACCGGACCAGTAATCCCTAGCTATCATAACAGTTCGCCGCTATATCCTCTTGTTTGGAGACTGAGGAGAACTTTCGTTTCTTCAAGTATTGTTACTTTAATTCATTTTTTGGATTAGAATTACACTTCCGGGATTCGGGGATCATTTGCGGTCGTGGACCAATTACGGTACTGTACAGTTCACCTCAGCTTCATTTCATCACATAATCAAGCAAAAATGTTACAAAAACTAATCAATCGATCATCAAAGGACACAAAGGAAATCAGTCTAGAGTTCAGTGTGGACATCAAGGAGGACTACGTGGGTTTCACCACTGTATAAAAAAACAAGACTAGAGGCTTTTTTAACAAATGGCAATATGAAGATCTATCGCTGGGACTCAAAGGATAGTCCACACCAAAAACATTTCAAAACACCTGATGTCGCTGATCAACTGATTTGTTACGGACGTGACGTGACGTATCTCTAACCATTTTCGACCGTTTCATGTGTACGCGAAGCACATAGAATAGCAGTATAGCATTGGTTAGGACTGGAATCGGACTCAATTTTACAAATTAAACATTTTTCGCTCCAAACAACAGGAGCGTCGTTACAGGATGCATGACCTTATATGGCCAACGGGACCCATCCGCTGAACAAAGGTATTGTGGCCTTAGGAAGTGAGATTGCTCTAAAAGTTGTTTTGCAGCTGCCCCTGTGTATATCCCGCCGCGTGCCTGCCCGAAATCTTGACAAAATTGTTGTCTCCTGAACTTCAGTCTTAGTTCAGTTTTATTATAGATTTTTGGAGGATATTTCTTAAATCATTTGCTTTCACTTTTTTCCTCTCTTACGCATGAATCCAACCTGTTAATCAATATGATCAGGATAGCGGCCGGCTGAAGTTTTCTTTTCATCAGATCGTTACGGCGATCGAAGATATACCCTATCGGTTTAAAATATGGCGGCTTTGGAAAAATCGCTCTCCGCACGCCCATAAATTAAATAGGTTACTAACTTTACTATCTTATTCGGTAACTCTGTGTGATTTGAAGTTAGTTTTTTTTATTTCTTTACAAAACAGGAGCCTAAAAGGATGAATTGATAAGCGTACCATTAAACTTAACAACTGAAACCGGTAAGAGGTCGGGAGTTCATCTTTTTCTCTTTTTCAATAGACACAATATCAACAGATTAAAAATGAGGGTTTTCTATTTGCTTAATGTGTGTAAAGATGAAAGTAAACTCAATGCGAACCAATTGAAATAATTGTCAGCAAAGATAAATGAATACTAGAAATAATTGCAACATTAAGGTTGATTTCGTCATAAATAGAGATTCACTTTTTGAGTTCCTAAAAAATAGTTATTTTATGTGCTTAAAACTTCATTAAAAAATGTGAGCACCGACTCTTCTGTCTACAATGGAATACATCTGATAATATGACTTAGATACTTCCTGTTTGACACGATCTATTCATCCAATGCCTCAGTACGATGGCTGTCATTTCACGACAATTGTTTGCTGTAATGCCGATCGAGCCAATAAGAGCTATTACTTGACGAAAACGCTTTGTTTCTTTAGTCGCCTCTACTAAGTGTAAACGTTGAAGGGTTCCTTCCGCTTCTATTGTTATTGTCTTTCAAATAACCTCTTTAAAAAAGATCAATACTCGCGTCGCGAAACAGGCTGAAACATTTTGCGCTTGTTAAGGAAAAGCTACGAAACAAAGTTAGAACTTAAGGTTATATCACTCATGGATCAGTAAAAAACAGTATTGCTGGCCGAATATTTCTTCGCTTCAGTTAAACAAGACGTTTTTAAGTGTCTAATTTAGTTTAAGGATTCACAAGGAAACAAGCCTTCGCTTGAAATGTCCTCCTACCGACTTGAAGCGATTGTAACCTCTATTTTCATGGTTGTCGTTTCTGTTGTGGCTGTTTTTGGAAACTTGATGGTCATCGTGGCGATCTTGTGGAACAAAAGACTTCGTACAGTGCCGTACAACTTTCTTTTCCTTAACCTGGCTGTAGCTGATATGCTTCAAGGAGCTATTGCCATGCCGCTTCGTCTTGCCGATCAACTCAACCAAACTGACCAAAAACCATTAATACCATGCCTGGTTGTTATACCTTTAACTGTGTTTTTCTTCGGCGCTTCAAACTTTAACTTGACTCTAATAAGCCTCGATCGATATTTTGCATTAAAAAAGCCTTTTCTATACCCTCTCTTAGCTGTACCTTGGAGACTGGCTCTTATTGTCGCCGTATCTTGGGTAATCATTTTTATCATCGCCTTCTTGCCTATTATGGGATGGGGAGCTGCTGTTACTGCTGAAGTGTCTGATATCTGCTTGTATTCCACCACGCTGACCAGAGGGTACCTGTTTGTGTTATTTTCCATCCTCAATTTAGCCGTGATCATTATACTGGCATTTACCAACTACTTCATCCTCAAAACTGCCAGGAGACAGGTTCATCGTATCAACATCGACAAAAATCTCGGAACACTATTGGAGGTGCCATTTTCAGTTGCTGCAAAAAGCAAGCCAGTGACATTGCCTAATATCCGAACAAATGCAGACAATAACACGATTAACAACCGAGTGTTTCTTATCAGCAACAGTGAAAATGCTGATCGAAAAGGGACAAAGATTGTTCTGATCGTAGTTGGTATCTTTGTGTTTTTGACAACGCCAATCACAGTGATTGACATCATTAGTCTATTGGGTTGTGTTTCATGCACGCCTCTCATTGTTGTCAAGGTAACCGTGTTTATGGCTTACGCAAACGCTTGTGTCAACGTTTTTATATACGCTGGCCTCAACACGGAAATGAGAAATACATGGGTTGCCATGTATGGGCAAGCTAAGGCAGCTTTAGGTAGATCTTTCCACTCTTATTTAGTAAAATGGATGTGTTGTCGATCCTCGGTCTCAAGTACTGAAGTAATAGAGTTTGCGTGAAAATTTTACGGTACACGATGCCTTTCTAAGGCGTTAAGGACCGTCAGTCTTTTTGGAAACTAGTCTTTTTTTTTCCATTTCCAGCAGAAAAAAATAAGCAATTAACGCCTTGAGACTCTTGAAAAGAATCAAAACACTCACCCTACTATTTTCTTAGTTCTATGATACGTTATCAAATTAAATACCTCACAAAAAAGTATTCGCCACAAAGATGCATGTATTTCTTGAATTACGACTCGGTAAAGAAAGAGAAAACATGTATCAATGCGGGATGGTCTTCATTCCTCTTTTTGTACAGTTTTTGAAAATGCAGTAATTAAAGAAGTATAGATAAGCACACACTTTGTTATTAACGTCATAGTCATTATACCTCTCCTATGTGAAGGATCGAAGTAACCAAAGGGATCTAGATCTTGGTAACTGACGCGGCTCGTTAACGAAGAATTCTCTGACGCGCTGGCTGTACAATGAACGACAAACTCAAACAGTTAATTCTTCAGCCAGTAAGTGCGATTATTTGAAGGTTAATCACAAACTTAGGGACACTAATTTTTTTTATGCATGCAGTTTGAATTTGAACAACAACAACAACAACAACAACAAAACCAATAAATCATATTAGCAGCCGGAAAAGCTGAAACCGTGTTAAACAAGACCAATGTCGATAACCAATGATATTAACAAATGAAAATTATAAGTTTACACAACGATAAGTTTCAGTATGGAGAAATAAACTCATTCATTGCGGGAAGAATCGTCAAAGCAGAAAAAAATATTAACACCTGCTCTGTAATGAGCCTGAATGAGCTTTCGGAAGACTGGGTATTGATGACCCACCATAGAGCATTTTGTAGTAGTAGGCCATTTCGGAGTTGCAAATAAGTTTTATTTGCATTAGAATAAGAAATCATTTCATAATCAACAATAGCTTCATGTGGAAAAAGAGGCTTGCAGTAACTCAGAAATTGTGTATTAATATTATCCCGTGCATTGAAAACTAACCCAGAGAAATAGATTCAAAGGTTCTGGAAGACTCTCTTTATTCTACGGTAGATTTTCCAAAATTCGCAACAGCTTTTCAATAATTAGTTATTAGCGTCCAGTCTCTTTTCGTTGATTCCCGAAGATAACTTGACATTTGTGAAAATTAGGGAGACCGAAACGCAGATGTTCCGATTGTACTTACATTTCTTGATGTATAGGTCATTTGCCTACTAAGTCGACGCAAACCACTGTCAACTAATACAATAGGGGAATCTTTGTCTCTGTTTTTTTCGCCATTAAAATATCCTTTATTTTCTTCAGGTTATAAGAGAGGAACAAAAATGTCAGTTCCAAGGACAGTCTTAATCTCATTTGTTGCATGGCTCCAATTGAGTCTGCGCATGCGATGCGAAAGGAATCACATCAAAGAGGTCTTCTAGAGAAAAATTTATCCAATCTAGTTTCTTATACTTAAATTCTTATTGAAAGAATTCCATGAAGAATTGATATTTCGTGAATAAAAGTCAATAAAAGAATCTCAAAGAGACTGGTCCATTAATTCTTATATTACATACAACAAATCTGAGGCCGCTTGTCAATCCTAAACATCCGGGTTTTCTACCAAAACGGCTAGTGTTCCGGACTAAGGGCAAAGAGACATGCGCAGCCATAAGATCCGAAGGCTCTGGTGACGTCAGTGCCATAATGAAACTCTTCTCCTTGCACATGCTGGGTAATATCAGAGAAGGATATAATTTACATATGTTAAAATGAGGTCATTTGGAAGGAGTAAATAAACTATATCAGTAATCATCAGCAGATTTGGAAAAGTGAGAAATTGTACCGGCAGGATAGCCTGCAAGCCAGCTCTCTGGGGAACACTGGCAGCGGGAAAAGGAAGGAGAGCTTGCAACTACGTCTCTAGAATTTCAGCATTTCGCATGGACTTTTTCGATGCAGATATTCAAATTTCTAAGACGTAGTTGCAAGCTCTTTCTGTGGTTTAACTTTTCAAGAAACAAAATTCCCGCAAATAAAGGAAAGTGATTTTATTAACGTTTACTGTGAAAAAAGCGCATGCGCAATTTTGCGAAACAAAAGAGCTAAAAGGAGAAAACAATAGCGTGCTGCATTCATTGTTTAGTTTTCCACCTTCATCATATTAATGAGCACCGTCATGCATTCTTGGCAACCAATGGTTGAAGCGTTCTTACAGCGTCTAAGCATGACTGCGTGTAATATGACAGATCTACGAACTTTGGTGAACTGGAGTAAATGTCCTGAGAACAATAGGCATACTGGGCGATGTTTTCCCGCCCCGCCCGCCAGAGCGCCCCGGAGATCTTGCTCGCAGGCTACCGGCAGGAGATCTCGACTGGTACTCTCAGTAAATTCCTTAATACTAACTACATTTCAAAGGAAATTGAACGATTACTTTCAGACTAGATAACTGTAGCGCCAGGCTAGCTATGTGGTATTTTAGTAACCTTCACTAATAGATATGACACTTTTTACTTAAAAATACGAAAGAAAAAATAGTGCATTCGAACATTTTGCTCAAGAAGCTTCATTTTAATAAAAAAAATTACGGCAAAGGTTAGAGATAGGCCCCATGTCTTTTGTAAAACTCTCTTCCGGAGATGAAAGGTTCACTATTAGGCAAAAAAGAAGACGGGGAAAGATTCGATGACATGAAGTATTACTAAAAGGAACTGGTATTTGGTTTTTCCTTTATTTCTGTTTTCCATCGAGATATTTTTCATCTTGAGACACACAAAACTTAGATAACCTTCTCGATTCCACTCTGCTTAAAGATTCATTCCATGTCGCCTTTGGATTTAAATTAACCTTCAACGAAATTTTTCAATTTTTTTATTTAAGTTGTTAAGACCAAAATAATGATATTTTCCTTACATTTTCTGCACATTTTGTAGTTAATCTTTCTTCCCACTTTTTACTGTAATTTTCTTCTCAGCGATTTGACCATGCAACTTTGATGTGATAGTACATTTGTATCTTTCCGATATACTCATAGACTTGTCTTCCGTCTAAAAAGAAGCGTTTAAATTTACTTGCATAGGAAATTAAACCAAAAGTGTCAGAAATAAAAAAAGGTAAAAGAAGTAAAGTTTACTTATTGACAAACAGCAAACACTGATAAAATACGTTCCATTTTAACTGTCTAACAATGTGATTCCGCCTTGTGTTTCACTTAGCGCGCCGCGCGCTCGAGCTGTAAATTGGAGGGATTATCGATTACCCGTTCTCCATATCAAAATTGTTGCAAAACTGTAAAACAGCTGAAAAACTGTGTCTTAATGGACGCAAGTATTGAGTCAGGAAACAGCTGAGAGCCTTTTCATTCTTGAATGTTACCGCAATCGTACGAGAAATCAGAGCTGTCTCTAAATAAACAAGTTTGACAAACATCGCAAAATGAAATTAGTTGTACACTACGAAAAACCAAAATGAAAGTCGTTTGCTGAGTCTTGTAGCATTTTTCTTTTACTTGACAAGAATATTCTGTATCAAGTGCTCAATCAAATCGGCAACTCCAAAAGTTTAAGATAATTGGGTCTTATTTTCTGAACTGTGAGCTTCGACTATTTCCTTGACTTCAGTGGCGTTTGTTTTAATTAGAAGGTTTTTGTGCGTCAATTTAAAAGTTTTAATGAAAAAGTTTAACTATAGGAAACGAATTAACAGCTGCTTACCTAGTGCGGGTTAGTTTAAGGTAAAACTCGATAGTGAATTTGACTTTGATGAAAAACAAAATTATAACAAATCATTAAATTTCGCGTTGCGTCGAACCGTTAATCAAGGCGAACAGACTTGAAGAACTTCTGTTGACCATCGATGTAAAATTCAGTGTAGTGCGAACTATTTTTTATTTTGCGAAGACAACTTAGATTGTAATCCCAAAAAGAAATTGAAAAGCTCGTACTTCTTATTCAAGCTTTTGTTTACACAGGACGAATATTGAAAAAAAGTGCAACATTATTACAGTTAAGCCATGATGTTGTCTGTGAATTAAACACACGTCGTTCCTATCCAATAGCGAATCAATTTATCGGTGAACTATTTACTTAATATTTTGCCTTTCAAACTGGTCGTGCATGAGGAGAATTCCTCAGTTTCAGTTAGCCTTGTGAAATATTTATCAATTTTTGAAAAATACATCGCAATTGAACTGAGTACAGTAACACGAGAGAAAAATTCTTTTCATTCTGAAATCGAATCTGAAAGCTTCACTTGACAGAAATGTCAAACGTAGCTCATTGTGGTCGCGGAGGAAATTGCAAGCTTTTAAGATGTTAATTCAGCGTATCCGGCAATATCGCTTGTTTGATTTGCAAAAACTGTGAAATGAGGGTGTTTTTCAAACAGTTATTAATACGGCTCGCAGGTGGAAATCTTTAGGGATTGTTAAAAAGCTACTGTGCCAGGTTAGGTCCTGTTTGTTTTTGCCGACTCGATCCACTCGGGAACAGCAGGTAGTGAATCTTGATATCAAAAGTTAATTCATCGTTGGTGAGTAGATATCGGCCCTTAATTCCCTTGCTGAAATTTTGTGCATCTGTTACGATAAATCCCAGAAATATGTTCCGAAAAAGAAATGTTTCTCTTTTAACAAAATAACCTTCGAAAAGTGCGGATGTTATAGAAATTTAATCCTGTGTGAGTTGAATGTTTCGCGCAATTTAAAGATAGTTTAAGGATGATCTATTGAGCTGAAATTAATTCAGATTTAGTTAAGTTCCAAGTAACGAAAAATCTGTAAGCCAACCTAACTGCCTAAAACAAAGTCTACAAGGCAGTTTCATTCAGTTCGCCTCCGTGAAAAGCAACTTATTTCTGATGTTTCAGAAACTCATCAGTTCATTATGCTAAGAAAATGAACTAGCCTGAAAATGATTTTGATTTTTGATTATCTGTCACAGTTTCGAAAGAGCTTTAATCTTAACTAGCCAGCGAGGTAATGTGGGCTTTTTTGTCTAGTTCTCAGTTGCTCCGGGCGTTTTGCGTGCTGCTCGACATTGTTACTTAATTCACAAGCAAGTGTTAAATTTATCTCTGTTTTGAAAATAATGCTGGGTGGTCTTGACTTAAATATTAGAATTTTCACTTGATTAGTTTTATGAAACAAAAAACAGTGGTTTCAATGATTTTATTTCGTTAATGTTCTATTGATTCTTTTAGAAAATAAAAAGCCAAAGGCAGGGGGAAAATGTTGCTGTGAATAGGTCAATTTTTGTTTAACTCATTTCCATTACAAATTAACAACTGTAATGCCGTTCCGCCTGAACTGAACACTTCTCTGCCATCATTTTAAATAAGGCCATTTGCAGGATCGGTAAGCTAAAACTTTGTGTTTGTTTATGTTTTTGTGTGTGTATGGGTTGTTGCCGTATTGATCGAATTTGTTGCATACATTTGTCAGCAAAATAGTGACTTTTTCAAGCATCTTAATTTTTAAAAAGTACTTGAACAATGGTGAAAATTGCTATATCTTCTTAAAATGATTTCTCTTGAATGTAATTTAAGCTGTTTTAGGCCTTTTCTTGATTTGAGATATCTTAATGTACCAAAGAAATTTGTTTTATTCTTAAAAAAATTCAGGGTATAATTTTTTGATCCAAGGCAACAATGAAGTGCTATAAAGTTATTGAAAAAATATTACCGCTTGATAAGATGTCCTAAGAAGTTATTATAGCAACAATTTGACAACAATTCTACTCTCTTTAAATTTTGACCTGATTGTGAAACTCTTTTTACAACACACAAATTGAGGCTTGACAACTCAGGGGTTAAGTGAAATTTTATCACCTGTATTCGTTATCTTAATTCATTGTCTTAGCACTGAAATGTGTTTTGAAATTAAGGAAGTTAGAGAATGTTAAAATTGTGAGCTTCAAAAGTTTTTTTCTGTGCCTGTTCCCCNCCAGAATAAGACCTTCACTTACGCTAGAAGCTGCAAATAGACTCTATAAAGCCATGGTCCTCCCGGTTCTAGATTATTGTGATGCTGTGTGGCATGAATGTGGACAAGGAAACAGTGACAAGATTGAACGACTACAAAGACGAGCAGCGAGGATCGTCTACTTCAAAGCTGCCTCAAAACTATCAACTGATCAAATTATGACTAAACTGGGCTTGGAACCTCTCTATTATAGAAGACGGACACACATTTTAAGATTTGTTGATGAGTGCATTGCAAATAGAGTTCCCAGATACCTTTCTAATTATTTCAATGTAAGAAACCGTGACATTCACCGCCACAAAACTAGAAATAATAATGACCTTATTTTAGAAAAAATTAATTTAGAATGCACCAAGCGCGCTTTTTTCTATAAAGGTGCAAAAATTTTTAATAATTTTTAATAATTCTTAGAATTTATAACTGTTCGATCTTTCGTTTAGTGCAACTATTTTGTAATATTGTAATTTGATTTTTATCTATATTTTAAATCTTTTTTATTTTTATTTTTATATATATATATTTTTTAATTTTTTACAGGACCTGCATTGATAGCAGTTTTTCCTAAAACTGAAGCAGCAATCCTGCATAAATATGTTTAAATTATTATTATTATTATTATTAATGTACCAAAGAAATTTGTTTTATTCTTAACAAAATTCAGGGTATAATTTTTTGATCCAAGGCAACAATGAAGTGCTGTAAAGTTATTGAAAAAATATTACCGCTTGTTAAGATGCCCTAAGAAGTTATTATAGCAACAATTTGACAACAATTCTACCCTCTTTAAATTTTGACCTGATTGTGAAACTCTTTTTACAACACACAAATTGTAGGCTTGATAACTCAGGGGTTAAGTGAAATTTTATCACCTGTATTCGTTATCTTAATTCATTGTCTTAGCACTGAAATGTGTTTTGAAATTAAGGAAGTCAGAGAATGTTAAAATTGTGAGCTTCAAAAGTTTTTTTCTGTGCCTGTTCCCCAACTGAATCTAAAGACAATGAGGCTTCTGTAATATTTTGACCAGCAAAATCAAAGAAAAAAAAAGCAATATTAAATAACAACAATAATTTTTATTTGGCCAAAAAAATATATCTCACCCAATTCAGACTGAGCTTTTTTTGCTTTTCTTACCACTTGAATGTTTGGGGGCGGGGGGGGGGGTTGCTTTAGAGGTCCCCCTGTTTGCGTTCAAAAGCGCTCATGATTCGGCTACCAAAAGAACAAAGAATAATGCACCTGTCATTTCCAGCATCTAGGCATAATTTGATTGGCACAATGATGTAATTTGACGTCATAACGACGCCATATTATTGAATTTACTGGCAGAATCCAAATTAAGTTGTCATAAAGCGAAATATAGTTAAATAGTAAGGTGACTGGTAAAATCGAAAAGTTGGTTAAGTTTCATAATACTCAACCTCGTCCCCAGGGCGCTTTACCAGGGAAGAGCGTCCTGGGGATGAGGTTGCATAATACTAAGAATAGAATAAAACCTTTTTCAAAAAATATACCTTTTAAAAAACACTGCTGTTAAAACTCGGTCGCCATGGTAACGTCAACTTTGGCACACCCCGCGAAGACTTAAAAATGCTCCCAGATAAATTTTAGGGAAAGAAGCTAACTTTGGCGGTCATAGCATTAGCTGTTTTGAAGTTAAGCTACCTGCAAACGGACGCAACATTGTTAGATGTTACATGTTGCGTCCGTTTGCACACCCTGTTGCATGTTGTTGGATGTTGTTGCGTGTTGTTGCTCGAGGTTTTAAACCGGTCAACTTTTATCCCCTTGAAAACGGGCGAAACATTGTCGAAACATGGGCTTTAGTAAAACTTCGAATGATCAATCATAAACTAATGATAGAAATAGGCAGATACTATCAAACTACCAAGGATAATAGGCATTACCCTTTTTGTGGATGCAGTGTAATAGAAGACGAAGTTCACTTTCTTTTTTAATGTCCTACATACTTTATGATTAGGAATAAACTTTACTATGCTATGAAGTCAAGACTCTGATTCCAAATATTACCCAGTTACCTATATTGGTTTGATCAATGAACTCGGATGAACTCTTCTAATTACTTTATCAATATACAATTCATAAAATATATTTCAGCTTCTTTTGATGTTCGTGACAAATTATTATCAAAGTAACGTAATTGCCCTGTGTTGTAATTTCGATTACTAAAAATAGCTTTTGCAATACTGTATGTGCTTGTATAGTCATGCAAATAAAGCTCGTTGTTGTTGTTGTTGTTGTCGGGAGTTGAAGCGTCCGTTTGTATGTAGCTTTATTTAACATAGTGAGAGGGACCACAAAAGTGCCCCCAGTCTGAATAGGTTAAAACAGCTCTAGATTGACATAAAATTTCTAAATCTATCAAAGTCAAGGACCTTTAATCGCAGTCAGAAAAAAAAGGTAATTATAGGGTCTAAACTTTCTTTTTCCTGAATGCGTTTGATCAAAAATCTCTTAGCAGATTTTTCATAGGAATTCTATGACTGAATTTTTTTTTGTTCCTTCCATCAAAGCACCTCAGATTCCCGATTTGAAAACTCGAAAACTCCAGATAGGCAACCAATCCAGGACGTTTTCATTTCGATTTCACGGATGTGCTGTCGCACTTTGTAATAAAATTGTCACACTTTGTAATACCTGTCGCACTTTGTAATAACACTTGTCGCACTTTCTAATAAAAAAGCTGTCGCACTTTGTAATAAACTTGAAATAGATGGTCGGAGGACAAGTAAACCCAGTAATAAGTGTCATCATCGACAACAACTGACAAAATAACAACAAAATGATATGGTTAAGCGCCTGCGAATCCGAATACGCCCATGAAATAAACCCAGAAGCGTCAATATGAGTCCGGAAAAATGTTCTTAAGTATAAATATCTTTAGACCAATCTATATGAAATATATCACTTCGTTGCATCTAATAGAGTACTATTGTTTTACTTTCATAGGCAAATTACTGTGTCAGTCCCCTCAAAGGTGTCTCACTATGTATCTGCTTCACTGGTCAGAAATGGAGAACGTTCAGCGGTATTCCGGAGTATTCGCGACATGCTCCATTCCTGCCTTACTGACGTTTGGTCCTTACCAAGGCCCACTAAACATGCTCTTAAAAACTACAGATCATAAACATTTGGATTTTGTACTTGAGGTGAGACTATCCGATTATTATGCAAATCAGTAAATATCAAGCAAAACTGGCATGACAATCTGCCCCAGCTGTCGTGGCCAGCACCACCGATAACACTTCTCTTGTAAAGAAAGTGAAATTTTTGTAGTTTGCGGATCGATAAAAAAATTGGCATCACTTCTTCCAATACGGAGGTAAAACAAACCTTAAACCATTTCCTAAAAGTGTAAGCGGTTATTTCACATTAACAAATTTGATTGATGTGTTTCATGGAAGCTCCGCCTTACCAAAGCGGTCAAAGTCAAACAGAAAAGACATGTATAAATCAAAAGAGTGATAGAGCAGGATTGAGTTCGAACAGTAATTTTCTGGGAAAATTCTGTTATCGATTATTACGTTTCAAGTTATTCTTCTATCACTGGATCTCAACTTCCGGTGATTTCGTAAGTTTGTTTGCGGTAACACGCCTCACAGGGACAAAGAAAATGTACATTCCAAGTACGCGCTAAGTAGATTCCTCAGTGTAAGGAGTGTGCACACCTCTACCGGTATTCCGTTTTCACGAACTGCGCGCGCTGCTGATGGTGATGCATTCAGCATGGTTTCGCACCTCTATACAGCAGGCGCATGACGAAAGAAGCGTGCTTTATGGGGCGATGGTTTCTTTAAACTTTTCATTATGTAAAAGCATGGAGAGTAAAATAAACCTGAAGCAACAATTTCTTCGATCCTTGCAGATTTCTTACAGATACGGTCAGCTAATCTGGGTTATGGACCGCCATCTTTCTTGGGTTCCATTTATGAACTTTGCCCGTTGTCCAGAGGAGCAAAATGTGGAGGTGTTCTTAAAAGAGGGCTCATTCTACTTTCGCACCATTCGCAGAGTGGCCCCCGGAGAAGAGCTGCTAATATGGCCCACAGAAGGACTCGGCAGAAGACTTAAGATTCCAAAGCTTGTCGTCCCAAAAACTGAGCAACGTAAGAAAAGATTTGTTTTTATTCAGTATTGCATCTCGGTAGCAAATTAAAGAAAGTTATAATGGCAAAATTAAAACAGAAGAAATACCTTGGGTACTTAATTTCGCGTTTTTGGCGAGGCAGTATTTCGCAGTGTTTTTTTTTTCGCGATTTAAATAGGAAAATACGAATAAGGGGTATCAAATTTTGCTATTTAAGCGTTCTCAAATAGTCTGAACTTTTAAAACTTTGTTGATAAACTTGTGCAATCAAAACGCATATGTATGTTTTTGCACGAATCTAGCGATTCAGATGAAGATGATTGCTAGATTATACACTCCATGTGCGACTTGGTGTGGCGAAAAAATTCTATTTAGAAGACAAAGATTTTCACACAAATTCTCCTGCCAATTAAGGCCCGTTTCAAACGTCTTGCTACTGCCGTGCCGAACTCAATTGATTGAATTAAATGCGACTTTAGCACGGCAGTAGCGCGACGTTTGAAACCAAGTCGTGCTGCTGCCGTGTAGCACAGCAAGCCTTGCCGTGCTACACGGCAGTAGCTCGACTTGGTTGCAAACATCGTGCTACCGCCGTGCCGAACTCAATTCATAAATTATAAATGAATACATTTAAAAGTTTGCTAAACCGTTTCTTTATTTTAGTGTTGCGTTTTCGGCAACAGCCGGTCTATTCGATTGAATTAAATTCGACGTCTGAAACCAAGTCATGCTGGTGTTGTGCTGCAGTCGGCAGTAGCACGACGTTTGAAACAGATACACATGAAGCACATTGTCGCTGCGATCAATGTGTCGCCGCGACTTGTTGCTGCAACTCGTCGCATAGTAAGTTTAGTCCAACCTTAAATATCACCTTTTGGGACCACTAAACAGTACACTTCTTGACTTTATCACTCGATGCCCGCCTCATAACTTGCACAAGAACAGCATTAAAAGTGATATTCCCTCCTATATAGCTCTTAATTAATAAACAATTCAAGCGGTACTATTACATTCGAAGTTAGTTTGAATCCAACCAGCCAATCAGAGTTGCGTTTATTCCCTCCGATTGTTCGTGCTTTAATCGAGATGACGACTTCCATACTACGGAGCCAAAGACACAGTTACTTAGGCTATATTCATACTACATCGGATCTAGCTTTTTGTGCCGAAAGGAAAAGCTGACTGGTATAGTACTAGACAGTGTGAACATCACTTTAATTAGGAATCCGTGCGGCGCTACTTCGCTCCATTACAAAAAACTGCGCAAAATAACCGTTCTTATGTGTGAACAGAAACCCTATCCGGTTTGGTAGGGTATTCGTGCCTGCGCAAAAGCTATTCGGTAAAGTGTGAACGTCGCGTTAATCAGAATGCACCTATAACGTCTTTCATTAACTGTGATCTGTACTTCAATCACGATTCTGGACATTTGAGTAGAACAAATCCTTTCCCGCCTAACAGTAACCTAATGGGTGAGCAACACTCACAACTAATTAGGGTTTGCCGTGCATTAACCTGTCAATACCGACCTTCTTCACAAGAGTTCTCGCCGAAGGCGAAAGACAATTATAGTTTATACGTCACATGACTCCTGTCCTAACAGGCACTGCTTTTACTCGATTTAGCATTCAGGTTACCCCAGAGTTCCAATTAAACTGCAGATACCTGACACCGTATATCAAATTAAAGCTAATTTAATTGGCATTCTTAATAATCCAACAGTTGTTTGAAAAATTGCACTGTCAATTTTGTTTAGGAATTTTTTAATGGGAACGTCCGAATCAGCTTTCGAAAACTTAAACTCGAAGCGATGTTTATTGTTTACTAATTTGATTTGCTCAAGTGTTTTGGTAGTCAAAGCCCTAAAAAAAGTGTCGGGGGTTCCCTTTTTCGCTTGCAATCAAAAATTTCAAAACAAATTGGACATAACGCTAAAAAAAAGATGTTGGATGATCGATCAAAAATGCCTGTCAACAAAAAAGGTTTTATTAAAACAAAAAATTTTGCCACACGTTTTTAATTTGTTGCTTACACATTAAAGTAACATTCCTCAAAATTCTACGTCAATCGATCAAATTCCCTTGGAGTTATAGCTTCTTAAAGTATCCCCTCTGAGCGAATAATATAAGTTGAGAAAAAGAGGCGATTAAAAAAATTCCCTCGCTTCGTAAACAAACTCCGCCCACAAATACTTCTCAGGAATCTGGGCCAATCCGCGCTTCAATAACATTACTTCAGTTCGATTTTTGGGGGCTCTTTCTATTTTCAAACAACCTCACGTTTCGACTTTCGAGCCACATTTGCATTGGGATCAATAGTGAGATCACTTTTTCTCAGTTAAAGCTGTGGAAATGAAAGACTACAAATGCAGCCACGCTTGGTCAAAAACCAAACCGGCCGGTAGAAGGGAAAGTTCGGCGGCTTCCACTGGGCCGACTAGTATTGACATAGAGAGAGGATGATATAATTTAACAGCAATGTTGAGTCGCTAGCTAAAAGAAAAACAGTCCCGATTATTCATCCACCGGCTGCATTGAAATTCCCGCGAAAAACACCATTGGCTTTCAATCAAATTGAAAGAGTAACTTTTACTTCCGGTACAAACAAAAAACCGTCATTTCTCCACCAAAATTTAATCTTTTACATTTTTTGTTTTTGTTTTTGTTTTTGTTTTTGTTGTTGTTGTTGTTTTTTTTTTTCATAAAGATCACACTTAAACCTTTACTATGAGCCAAATATCATAATTTTGACAAAAGTTTCCATCTGAAGGTATCCGCCGGTAACCTCAACAAAAGATAGAGCCATATTTGGATTAAAGGATGAATTCCAGCTTTACTTGAACTCTGGTGATCTGATTTTCACAAAAGCATTCAAGTCTTCAGTATATTTTCTCCAAATATTTTAGATGCAATTTAACGTTTAACGAAAGTCGAAATGTTTCTAATCTTCCTCTCTCTATCACATTAATTTTCGATTATCCGAAATTTTTTAGGTCTCCTTTTTGTACGAAAAATAGCCTAACTTGCATGGGGAGTGAAATACGAAAAATTAACCTTCAGAAAATCGTGGGAATTTTTTAGATAAACTTCGAAAATTGCACATTGCATTTTCTCGCGAGCAGACTATGGAATAAAAGCTAATAAATATGTCCACGCGCCTCCTAATAGAAAAACGGTATCAGTAAAACCTGCAGTAAATAGCAGGTAGATCCCCTGTATTATCCGGTCAGATGCTGTTGAGCGCATTGCGCTAATTTTTTCCCTCAATGAACTCTGGCCTAAGGTAGCGCTTGCAAGCACTTTGATTTCAAAGGCGTGAACTTGGATTATGTTTGATCTACTAATGTCCCATCGATGTGACTGTAGGGTTCCCTCTCAACGATGAAAAGCCCCCCCCCCCCCCCTGTCTGAATAGGGTTAACGTAGTGAGAGGGACCTCAAAAGTGCCCCCAGTCTAAATACTAGGTTAAAACAGCTTTAGATTGACATAAAATTTCTAAATCTATCAAAGTCAAGGACCTTTAATCGTAGTTAGAAAAAAAAGGTAATTATAGGGTCTAAACGTTCTTTTTCCTGAATGCGTTTGATCAAAAAGCTCTTAGCAGATTTTTCGAAGGAATTCTATGACTGAATTTTTTTTTGTTCCTTCCATCAAAGCACCTCAGATTCCGGATTTGAAAACTCGAAAACTCCAGGTAGGCAACCAATCCAGGACGTTTTCATTTCGATTTCACGGACGCGTCTGCTTGTAAACGGCAAAACAAATCCGGTACCAAAATGCAAGCGACAAATTCGGAAAAATCTCGCGTTATATTGTAAAAGTAGTCTTATAAGTATAAACATATATTTAGACCAATATATGAAATATATCACTGCGTTGCATCTAATAGAGTACTATAATAATTGTGTCACTTTCATAGGCAAATTACTGTGTCAGTCCCTTCAAAGGTGTCTCACCATGTATCTCCTTCACTGGTCAGAAATGGAGAACGTTCAGCGGTATTCCGGAGTATTCGTGACATGCTCCATTCCTGCCTTACTAACGTTTGGTCCTTACCAAGGCCCACTAAACATGCTCTTAAAAACTACAGATCATAAACATTTGGATTTTGTACTTGAGGTGAGACTATCTGATTGTTATTCCATTCAGTAAATATCAAGCAAAACTGGCATGGCAATCTGCCCCGGCTGTCGTGGCCAGCATTACCAATAAAACTTCTCTTGTAAAGAAAGACAGTGAAATTTTTGTAGTTTGCGGATCGATCAAAAATTGGTATCACTTCCCCCAATACGGAGGTAAAACAAACCTTAAACCATTTCCTAAAAGTGTAAGCGGTTATTTTACATTAACAAATTTGATTGATGTGTTTCATGGAAGCTCCGCCTTACCAAAGTGGTCAAACTCAAACAGAAAACAGATGTATAAATCAAAAGAGTGATAGAGCTGGATTGAGTTCGAACAGTAATTTTCTGGGAAAATTCTGTTATCGATTATTATGGGGCGATGGTTTCTTTAAACTTTTCATTATGTAAAAGCATGGAGAGTAAAATAAACCTAAAGCAACAATTTCTTCGATCCTTGCAGATTTCTTACAGATACGGTCAGCTAATCTGGGTTATGGACCGCCATCTTTCTTGGGTTCCATTTATGAACTTTGCCCGTTGTCCAGAGGAGCAAAATGTGGAGGTGTTCTTAAAAGAGGGCTCATTCTACTTTCGCACCATTCGCAGAGTGGCCCCCGGAGAAGAGCTGCTAATATGGCCCACAGAAGGACTGGGCAGAAGACTTAAGATTCCAAAGCTTGTCATCCCAAAAACTGAGCAACGTAAGAAAAGATTTGTTGTTATTCAGTATTGCATCTCGGTAGCAAATTAAAGAAAGTTATTATGGCAATTTAAACAGAAGAAATACCTTGGGTACTTAATTTCGCGTTTTTAGCGAGGCAGTATTTCGCAGGGTTTTATTTTCGCGATGTAAATAGGAAAATACGAAAAAGGGGTATCAAATTTTGCCATTGAAGCGTTCTCAATTTCATTATATTTCTCAAATAGTCTGAACTTTTAAAAATTTGTTGATAAACTTGTGCAATCAAAACGTATATGTATGTTTTTTCACGAATCTAGCGATTCAGATGAAGATGATAGCAAGATTAAACACTCCATGTGTGAAATCTTTTTTTATTTCACAACAGAAGATACAACATGGAGTTTACCAGTAAATGTGTCGATACATATCTTGTATATGTTGTTGTTATTACATGTTAATCATTTTTCTGTGATTTTAATGTTCTGTATGGGTATTAAATTTTGCATGTTTAAAGTTCGCGATTTTTTTACAATCGCGAAAAACGCGAAATTAATTACCAATAAGGCAGAAGAAAAACAATTAAAATATACATATCCACAATATTACCAGTGCAGTAGTGGACCAACCCTGCATGGTTGGTGAGGGATCGGTTTGGACCCAGTCATCAAATCATAAATCAAATGTTTTGGAATATATCAGTTTTCTTTTGTCAGACAAAGACGAAGGCTCAAAATTTGCGAAATGGACGCACTCTTTGAGCTCCGATCTGAGACATTTTGTGACGTTTATTGTATGTTTTTGTCTTTTAAAACCACTTTTCTATGATTGAAAAACCTTTCTCAATTCAAAAAGGGTATTCATGCAATTCACTTCACTAGCACTTTAGATTCCCCTCGTTTTAAAAGTTCGGAACACACTAGGTGACTGGTTGCAGCCAAAGAGAACACGTCGCAGCGACAAATCGCTTCGCGTGTAGTAGAGAATTCTTGTGAAAATCTTTGCGGCTCCGCAACAGAATTTGTCGCCGCAACAAGTCTCCTAAATTCAGTCTGATGTAGTTTTCTGCGACTTGGTGTAGCGACAAAATTCTGTTTAGAAGACAAAGATTTTCTCAAAAATTCATCCTGCCAATTAAGAGTACACAGGAATCAATTTGTCGTTGTGATCGATGTGTCGCCGCGACTAGTTGCTGCAAGTTGTCTCCTGGTGTGTTTAGTCTAACCTTAAATATCACATTTTGGGACCACTAAACAGTACACTTCTTGACTTTATCACTCAATGCCCGCCTCATAGCTTTCACAAGAACAGCATTTAAAGTGATATTCCCTCTTATATAGCTTTTGATTAAGAAACAATTCAAGCGGTACTATAATTACATTCGAAGTTAGTTTGAATCCAACCAGCCAATCAGAGTTGCGTTTATTCCCTCCGATTGTTCGTGCTTTAATCGAGATGACGACTTCCATACTACGGAGCCAAAGACACAGTTACTTAGGCTATATTCATACTACATCGGATCTAGCTTTTTGTGCCGAAAGGAAAAGCTGACTGGTATAGTACTAGACAGTGTGAACATCACTTTAATTAGGAATCCGTGCGGCGCTACTTCGCTCCATTACAAAAAACTGCGCAAAATAACCGTTCTTATGTGTGAACAGAAACCCTATCCGGTTTGGTAGGGTATTCGTGCCTGCGCAAAAGCTATTCGGTAAAGTGTGAACGTCGCGTTAATCAGAATGCACCTATAACGTCTTTCATTATAGCTGTGATCTGTACTTCAATCACGATTCTGGACATTTGAGTAGAACAAATCCTTTCCCGCCTAACAGTAACCTAATGTGTGAGCAACACTCACAACTAATTAGGGTTTGCCGTGCATTAACCTGTCAATACCGACCTTCTTCACAAGAGTTCTAAGTCCGTCGAAGACGAAAGACAATCATAGTTTATACGCCACACGACTCCTGTCCTAACAGGCACTGTTTTTACTCAATTTAGCATTCAGGTTACCCCGGGTACTTTCAGGGGTGTCTCACGCGCAAGTTATGTAAAGAGTTCCAATTAAACTGCAGATACCTAACACCGTATATCAAATTAAAGCTAATTAAATTGGCATTCTTAATAATCCAACAGTTGTTTGAAAAATTGCACTGTCAATTTTGTTTAGGAATTTTTTAATGGGAACGTCCGAATCAGCTTTCAAACTAAAACTCAAAGCGATGTTTATTTTTTACTCATTTGATTTGCTCAAGTGTTTTGGTAGTCAAAGCCCTAAAAAAAGTGTCGGGGTATTCCCTTTTTCGCTTGCAATCAAAAATTTCAAAACAAATTGGAAATACCGCTAAAAAAAAGATGTTGGATGATCGATCAAAAATGCCTGTCAACAAAAAAGGTTGATTGAAACCAAAAATTTTCCGACACGTAAAAAATTCTCAAAATTCTAAGTTAATCGATCAAATTCCCTCGGAGTTGTAGCTTCTTAAAGTGTCCCCTCTGAGCGAATAATATAAGTCGAGAAAAAGAGGCGATTAAAAAAACTCCCTCGCTTCGTAAACAAACTCCGCCCACAAATACTTCTCAGGAATCTGGGCCAATCCGCGCTTGAATAAGATTACTTCAGTTCGATTTTTGGGGGCTCTTTCTATTTTTAAACAACCTCACCTTTCGACTTTCGAGCCACATTTGCACTGGGATCAATAGTGAGATCACTTTTTCTCAGTTAAAGCTGTGGAAATGAAAGACTACAAATGCAGCCACGCTTGGTCAAAAACCAAACCGGCCGGTAGAAGGGAAAGTTCGGCAGCTTCCAATGGGCCGACTAGTATTGACATAGAGAGAGGATGATATAATTTAACAGCAATGTTGAGTCGCTAACTAAAAGAAAAACAGTCCCGATTATTCATCCACCGGCTGCATTGAAATTCCTGCGAAAAACACCATTGGGTTTCAATCAAATTGAAAGAGTAACTTTACTTCCGATACAAACGAAAAACTGTCATTTCTACACCAAAATTTAATCTTTTCCATTTTTTGTTTTTGTTTTTGTTTTGATTATTTTTTTTTCATAAAGATCACACCTAAACCTTTACTATGAGCCAAATATCATAATTTTAACAAAAGTTTCCATCTGAAAATATCCGCCGGTAACCTCAACAAAAGATAGAGCCATATTTGGATTACAGGATGAATTCTAGCTTTACTTGAACTCTGGTGATCTAATCTTCACAAAAGCATTCAAGTCTTCACTATATTTTCTCCAAATATTTTAGATGCAATTTAACGTTTAACGAAAGTAGGAATGTTTCTAATCGTCCTCTCTCTATCACATTAATTTTCGATTATCCGAAAATTTTTAGGTCTCCTTTTTGTACGAAAAATAGCCTAACTTGCATGGGGAGTGAAATACGAAAAATTAAACTTCAGAAAATCGTGGGAATTTTTTTCGATGAGCTTCGAAAATTGCACATTGCATTTTCTCGCGAGCAGACTATGGAATAAAAGCTAATTAATATGTCCACGCGCCTCCTAATAGAAAAACGGTATCAGTAAAACCTGCAATAAATAGCAGGTAGATCCCCTGTATTATCCGGTCAGATGCTGTTGAGCGCATTTCGCTAATTTTTTCCCTCAATGAACTCTGTCCTGAGGTAGCGCTTGCAAGCACTTTGATTTCAAAGGCATGAACTTGGATTATGTTTGATCTACTAATTTTCCATGGATGTGACTGTAGGGTTCCCTCTCAACGAGTACCCTAGCTGCCGTAGAATTATTATTGTAAGAATCTGCAAACCTTCAAATGTTACGGGAAGGGATTCTGTTCTTTTTATCGCGGCCTAATGGTATGGAAGCCGGAGTGTTTCCTCTCTTAAAGTGTCGGAGCAAAGGTTAGTCCCTCAACAATGTCTAAATAACTATTTTTGGGTCAAGAGCTATAATCTGACCTAAAAAATTTAACAATTTCTTGCCCTTGTTAACACTTAATATTCCGGTCTTATTTAACTATGGATCCGTGCACTATTTTATATGTTTCCGATAACAGTGAGTTAGAATTGTAAGGCTAGAACTGGATTTCTTTGTTTTCGGTCAGAGGGTGTTAATTTGCTGAGGCTTCTATCCCTATGGGCTCCTGTCCTAACTTCTAGCTATTCACCCACTCTGCTTTCCTTACACTTTTTCTGGTTTGAGGAGTGATTAGAGTTACTATCCAGTTATTTTGAGAAAAGACTTAAGCTCAATACTTCTCTCGGGAAAGCGTGTTTGCATACGTGGAGTTTATCACAATGCAGATCCGAACATTTCTATAAGTCTCACTTCAAGATGAACCTTTTTTGCTTCACTTTTAGGCAACATGAAAGCTCATAGAAATACGCCAGATGAAAACAAAAAAAATTAACTCCATTGTCTGTTCATAAACCGAAAATTGACTTTTTTAAACTACTATTTACAACACTCAATAAAAGCTTTTTTCAAATTAGCTCGCACTACCAAAGAAAAGTAAAATTTCTAGTAAAACTATACTCTTTAATAAAATAGGATCTCTTACTGAGTTATAAAAGAGACAACAGTTCGACCAAACTCAAGATTTTTTTAAAAGCTTTCATAGACCTTACTGACTTTATTGCCGCGACAGATAACTAAAAGCCGATAATCGCTACGTAAAGAGCGCCTATTATGTCCATGTAAAAATAAGCGTTACTAAGCAGACCAGCTCGTTNGACGGAGTGCTTCCTCTCTTAAAGTGTCGGAGCAAAGGTGAGTCCCTCAACAATGTCTAAATAACTATTTTCGGTCTAGAGCTATAATCTGACCTAAAAAATTTAACAATTTCTTGCCCTTGTTAACACTTAATATTCCGGTCTTATTTAACTATGGATCCTTGCACTATTTTATATGTTTCCGATAACAGTGATTTAGAATTGTAAGCCTAGACCTGGATTTTTTTGTTTTCAGTCAGAGGGTGTTAATTTGCTGAGGCTTCTATCCCTATGGGCTCCTGTCCTAACTTCTAGCTATTTACCCACTTTGCTTTCCTTACACTTTTTCTGGTTTGAGGAGTGATTGGAGTTATTATCCAGTTATTTTGAGAAAAGACTTAAGCTCAATACTTCTCTCGGGAAAGCGTGTTTGCATACGTGGTATTTATTACAATGCAGATCCGAACATTTCTATAAGTCTCACTTCAAGATGAACCTTTTTTGCTTCACTTTTAGGCAACATAAAAGCTCATAGAAATACGCCTGATAAAAACAAAAAAAATTAACGCCATTGTCTATTCATAAACCGAAAATTGACTTTTTTAAACTACTATTTACAACACTCACTAAAACTTTTTTCAAATTAGCTCTCTACTACCAAAGAAAAGTAAAAGTTGCTAGTAAAACTATACTCTTTAATAAAATAGGATCTCTTACTGAGTTATAAATGAGACAACAGTTCGACCAAACTCAAGAGTTTTTTAAAAGCTTTCATAGACCTTACTGACTTTATTGCCGCGACAGATAACTAAAAGCCGATAATCGCTACGTAAAGAGCGCCTATTATGTCCATGTAAAAATAAGCGTTACTAAGCAGACCAGCTCGTTCTTGAGGTATTTTTATTGTGCGTTAGTTATACAGACACAATAACGCGTAGCATGTGTCCGTATTGTTCTACTCATTTAGCGTAATTGAGTGGTAAGAGATTCAAGAGGCATTTGTAATTTGCATCTTAGAAACCTCTCACATGACGTGACTTGTTAAGCCCTGAATGGGTGTAACTAATAAAAGTTCTTGTTCTGATCCGGTACTGAAGTTGTGATCATAAAATCGGCAGCTCCAAATTACATTACCAGCGACCAAGATGTACCTTAAGTAAACTTTGCGCTGTTTTTTTAATACCCGGTTATATTTAATTTGCAAGGTAGAGCTAATATTTAGAGATGTCAGAAATTTTACAAGGAGGCATAAAACTCAACGTCTGAGATTAAAAAATTTAAGAATAATGTTTCCATTCTTGTCACTTTTCTCATAGCTTAATCATTCTTTTAATAGCAATATGTATTTTTCATTCGCGTTTTTTTTAATTTCAATATGTCCAATCGTTTAAGCTGATATAATCTTGTATTGAAGTATCGTTGATCATTGTTCCAATATATTAAAATTAAAGTTGTTCATGAAACCCGTTTTTATAGCTTTTGCAGAATGAGCTTTCTATCATTTGCTTTGTACTTCATAGCTACCGAAGGCTAGCCGTTCCGGACAGAGGTTTTAAAAAAGTAAATAAACAAGTCACTGGACCGGCCATGATGCTAAGAAAAATGTGCAAAGATCTAAGTGAGAGCCACATGTACTAGGCTTCTGTCAGGAAATTGCGAAACTAACTTTTTGAGTGGGTTTTTCTTATATTGATTTAGTGCTATTAATGCCGAATGAGAGCTAGCGTGATCGACAGTTCTCGATTTCTGCTAACATGTGGTTTTATTGTTCTGATAAAAGGACATTGAGCAATCAGTTTTATGATTCCACTTGCATACATAAAGTGCAACAGAAGGCGAGTTCTAAAAAGTAACCGTCCTGATACTGAGAAACAGGCTAATATAAAGCCGTTTATGCCGCGTTAAGGTCATTATTATAAATTTGAGTTATATCAGGAATGTACATTTCCTTCTCTCCTGGACTTAACATTATAGTATTATCTCAATTCACTTCAATGCTATTGTTGTATCGACTTGATTTTAAGTGAATAGGTTACATGATACCTTAGTTTGATTTCTTCGAAACAAGATTATTCAGATTAATAATTTAAGTACCTCGCTTAATTACCATCAAGAACCGTAGTTGTTCTCTCGTCTCCCTCTATGTAACGATTGCAATATATGAACAAGTCGCGAGCAAAGGATATTGTTTATTGACCAAAACCTGCCAACGCCCAAGTTCCATTGTACACATGTTGAATTCAAAATATTCTCTTGCGGAGTCAGATTAAAAGAATATAACTTAAACTAAATAATCAATTCCCACAGAGCATCTTCAAATAAGGGATCAATAATTTCACGTTGTAATGTGTTACTGGGCAAAAGCAGCCGGTACGAACCCGCAAAATCAGGCCTAAACATGTGGCTTATTGTACAGAATCACTCGCGCAGAAAATTACACCGCATTAATGGCAACATTCTCTATTATTTTTAGCAGGAACCTAACTTCTTTAAGAATTGTCCTCCTTACTGTTGCGTCAACCAAAAAACAGAAACAATCAGGATTTCCTGTCCCGGAGAGAGCCTTATGCAAGAAACAGATGGACTAATTTCTTTTTTAATCGATTAACTCTTTGAGCGCCAGGCATTATTTACGGTTTTAAAGGTTAAAGAAAATAGTATTCGCCTCGGAAAATGAAGAAATACTAAATTCAGTTGAAACTAAAAAAAAAAAAAGCTAAAAGATAGTCAAGCTACGACACCCAAGAAAATTTCTGGTGTAGGTAAAAATATGAAATCTTTGAATAAAGTACTCGGGTTGATTTTAATTCATCGCCAAAAGCCCGCGAAAGTGTACAAGTCTAATAGTTTTCATGGTGCGAGGTTTATTCTTTCGCGGCTAATGTTTACTGAAGAAATAGTTTACCGACAGGTGGTATATTCAAGTTAAATATGTATAATCGTTTTGGTCCGTTAATGATACAATAGTGCTTTTCAAAACAACTTCAATTTATTAGGTGTTTAAAAGAAGATGTGGAAGAAAAATACGTATGGTACTTTGGAACATATGAGATGAATTTTACCGTATCTTTATTTGATATTCACTATTAAATATTCAATGGCATCTTCAGCGAACGGCAACAGTCAGCTCTCTTAACGGATGAATGCATCTATTAAAAATTAGGATTTTGCACTAAAAGAAGGATAAACAATAATCCCAAAGTCAACAACCTTTTTGCACTGCCGAGTTTGCAAATTTAGGAAAAATTACCGATAAATTACTTGAAAGTAAGATAGCACGACAGATAAATAAGGAAAATGAAAAGAAACTGGCCATTTCACCGACAAATAGTCTATTTAATGAAACCATGAATACAAGAAAATTATATTTCAGAACTGCGGGACAAGGAATTAAATGTAAGGAATCACGATTATCGTAGTTTCAGACTCAACTTTTGCAGTTGCAAGATAAAGGTAGCTGTACAAGATTCGAACTCTTGACCTCCGCGATAATGGTGCAGCACTCTGGTTAATAGAGACTGCGGTATCAGGAACTTAATGCCGTGAAACAAAGTATGTAAAGAGGTTTCTACTGACCACTTCAATAGATTTTACAGATGTCATACCCTATATTAAGCTACAATGGAATCCTGATTTCCCGAAACACCTTGGGAAAAGCCGATTGGTTCGAATTATCTTGAGGCTTAAAAAGACGGGGTTAAAATTGCAGCTTTTCACAGTTAAAGGGAAGAATAATCGGGAATTTCGAAAAACCGAGGGTTCGAAATATCGGAAGAGTACATAAAGAATTTACTCGTTATTCTTGTCTTGGCAATTTTTCATTTTTGTATAATTTTGCCTCACTCATGTCACTGAAAATTCAGTTTAATAAATTAGGGCTGTAAAAAGCTGCACGCGTTGACCAGCATATTTTTCATCAATTATAAATGTATGAGAAGTGTACAGGTATAGTTTAACTGGGCCTCGTCCACGCGAAATCCGGATATTTCTTTTTCACACGAATAGGGCGCGGATGAATGAGTGCGGTTGCACGTCTTTCACTGGTTTCGTGTGGACCGAGGGTCAATTCGTATCTAACTGTGAAATATGCGGTTTCAAAAATATCCGTCGGAATTCGTGTGGAAGGGGCCTTGGTAAATGTTTTGAGAAAAGTATCAAAAACAAAATGTTGTTATATAGCTGAGGTTCACTGCCAAACGATTGTTTCTCGAGGAAGTAGAGTACGTGGGGAAAAAAAACAAACAAGAAAAACCTTCAAACCAAAATAAAATACTAAAAGATTCTAATATGCGAAGTCAACGCGCTGAGCGGGCGGGGGCCGAGGTATGCTTATTTGCTCTTTTTGACTGCATCTAATCGAAAGGGAGAGACAACCACCGTCTTCCGCTACTAAGCAAAGCAAGCTGTCATACAAGGTATCTGTATTGTTCAGGTAACATGTGATTTCTTTGTTTTTGTCTTTCTTTGTTAAACAGTGTTCGCATGAGTTAATAACTCTGCTGGCGACCAATCTGGCAAATTCAGTCTCTGTGTGTTACGACAAACACTTCTGCAAATTCGAGAAGTTGCCGCAGCTAGCATGCAGTTAATAGCTAGGCTTTCTTCCGCTCTGTTCAAAGTTAAAAACAGTCCAACTTCAAAAGACATTTCTGCACGGGGTGCAATTTACAAAAGATTGTATCAAGCCTATTCTTTTTTAATTTCACTTTAATTTGCCTTCATAATTATTATGGAACAAAACAACACTGAGAAATCTGTGTTGCTTTTTCTGAGAGAATATAGTGCAAAAAGTTGCTTAGGTGCGGAGCTAAATGGGAAATTGAAGCTCGCGTGAACTTCTTACTTGTTTCGTTTTCGTTTCTCTTAATCACATCAATCTGACTAAAAATAAAAGTGATTTTTCTGCAAAAGATAAATGATTTATAACATTACTTTGTTTCGTTTTTGATTGCAACAATCGCCTTTGAAGGTTGTTTTCCAGTTTAAATGAGTCATTTCGGAAAAAAAATATGACGATGTTACAAAAAATGACGACTACACATGCCAAATTGGTGTGGTAGATTCAGAAGGTCCGTGTTTATCCAAACTTTGATTAACGCATCAATTTATATCCGATAATTGCTTTTCAGTTCAAAGAAAAATTGAGAAAATCACAACTTATAATATCTCGTTATTATTCTTTTCATAAAAGGTCTCTGTTTAGTTTAATTCTCGGCTTTTCAATTGCGCCTTTTATGAAATCTTCTTGTTCTTCTTGCAAACGAACTCTTGTATAATTTGTCTAAAATGTATGACAATGAGCAATGATTTGTTCATATGCATCTTTTCGTGCCTTCTGCGATTAAACGTTGCGTTAAAAAATGGGACATTAATGCTCTTTTCTGGTTTAACCCTTGCGAACAAGTCTTATTACTACTGGTGTCGACTGGTATATAATTTGTTGAGTCTATGCCGCAGCTTGCTTCACGTCTCACGTTTGAATGCATTTACAAGCTTTTATAAGAAAAAGTGCTGATCTCCATGTGCAAGAATTTTTTTATATATGTATACATCACAGAAAAATTGTTTATGACTTTAAAAGCAAGTGAAAAGAAAAGAAAGTTTAATTGATTTTGTAAAAGACATTGTCGCGTGGTTTTCAGGGTGATAAGAGAATATGAAAATATAAGTAGTTAATTGATATCTCTACAAACAATGGAAAAATTTTCATATGATGATGATTTTCCTTTTCCAATAAACGTGATGGCGTAATCGATATTCCTAGCAAAAATCCTTTGCCTTTTTTCCGAAAATTGTACAATTTTTGGGATTGCTCCGAAGATACCGAAAAGCTCAAGAAAAAGTGACTGCCCTCCCTTGGAGACAAACGGCCATATTTTATCGCGAATTTTTCAGTCAGAGCTACGCTAATGTTACCAGAAAAGTACAAATGTTGTTTACTACCTTAACACCTTCGGAGTGAAATCAATTTCCGGTGTCTAGGAAACACGACAAGAATGAATTCAATCTATAAAATGTTTAGTTGGGATATCAAGGGACGTAGTGATCAAATTGTAGCGCTTTGTCAGTGAAGTAACTAAGTGCGATTTTCGTTACTGCGGAAGCATTTCGATTTATTAGAAGCCACTACTTTTTCTTCCAAGATGGAACAGTTGTTTGATTCTCATTACGACAATCAGTGTTAAAGTACCATGTAGAACCGTAACAAGTAAAGGAATTCTGTTGCCACACCTTCGAGGTTCCTTCCAAGTTATCGCGGTCAACCAACTACAAATGGCTTATATTTACTTCTCTTATTTCCAGCCGACTTTCTTGCAGATAAAAAATAACAAATTGTTCAAAAATTCTCCAACTCCTTGTTGAGTAATAGAGAATATTTCGCGTCGTTACTGCTCACTTAATTGTGCTGATGTTATTTATCTAAGGAGCTGGTAGCAGCTTTTGTTTTGCTTCGTCGGATTGCATTCTCTCACATTAAGCCATGGCGAACAAAACATTTCCTGTTCGTAGGTACTTTCATTGTGGCGCTAGGGTTAACAATGCAACACGTGCATGGCCTTAACATGTCTGTTAAACGCAACCGTAAGTCATTTAAAGTCCATTTTTCTTGGTCCGGTACCCGGGTGCCTCAAATAATCTACTAAAATGGCTCACCCGTTTGGCGTTCCGTGGCTACTTTCTAGTTCGCTGGTAAGAGTGATTTTACCCGTTAACTTAGTTATCCCTGTGTACCGAAGGAGACTGCACGGTCTGAGACTTCGAACTTGCTTTTGCATCTGTTGGCTTAGGATACATTCCAAGGACAAAAGATTTCCCTTTTCAGCCGCGTGTCGAAATTATATATGTATAAAGCGTGATACATCTATTGTGTGGGTTGAACAGCCATCCCTTTGTGGCAATTCTAAGATATATAGGCAGCAAAGGGCGAACTAAACAACTCGACACCGAGCTCGTAACGGGTCACGTGCAATGACCACGGCCACCATTTGGCACCTGCTAAAAGGACGATCTTGAATCAAAAAGCGTGGTAAAACTTTTTTATCTACCGGTTTATCGCTGGTTATGCTTCCAACGTCCTAGCTCTTGCAGAGCGGCTCAGCTGTTTGCAAAGTGCAGCTTACGTATTCTAACCGCTTCCCGATTTCGCCCAGGCAACGGCGCCCATTATAACACGGAGCAATTTAAAAAGCACAACAGACAGCGTAATTTGATTGGCCGGAGTCATTAACAAAAGATCTAACAATAGAATTGAATGACCCTCGTGGCAAAGTTTATTGTCTTAAAAATCAGTGAACTTTACTTAGCGCAGTACACTAATCGAGTTTCTCCCATTCTCCGCCTAACGCAGATAGTTATCATCGGCGCACCCCGAAAACTTAAACTACATTAAATGACCACTTATTTTGAAAAAATTTGATATTTCCCGGCCGATAGTGGTGAAGCTAATTACAGCATGGCTGGTTAATTATAAATATAGCATTGAATATTAATAACTCTCCGCGCTCGAGCGCCGATATTATTTAAGTTGTAAGCCAGTAGCGAAGGCGGAGGAACCTAGGGCCTTTCGCACGTGTCACTGAATCGCTGTTTGGCTGTCCCGTGAAACGCGCTTCTGATTGGCTGGTTTAATAGCACGTGTCATTAACTTTGCTACACCTGTCGGTTCTTTCACAGGTGAATACCAATATATTTGTCACCACTGCTCGCAAGTGTTTGCATTCCCAAACACACTTAAAACGCACATCGCATTTGAGTGTGCCACAAACCGTACGAAGAGCTATAAAGAGACCCTGCTTCACAGTCAGCGAGCACACTCACACACCAGTCAACTTTCAAGTAGAAACAACCCGTTGAACAGGCGGCCGAGAATGAGCACTTTGTTCCTGAGTCCAAACTCGGATACGGACGGGATACAGGTATCTAAACAGGACACTGATCCAGCGCTAGGTCTAAAACATGATGGAGAATCGACTAGGAGTCATCACCATAATGGCAGCGGTTTCTTATCCGACGTGTCAGTACACGATGACAAAAACGGAGGCCATTCCTCATCTGGACTTAATTTATCCAACAGTATGCCGGGTTCTTTGAATGGCTTAAATGGCTTTAATAGCTTCAACAACCTCTCACTGGCCATGAATCAGTTTCCTTTCCTCTCAAATTTCAACACCGACTCGTTCCTGATGAAGGAAAGCCCAAAGTCGCTGCAAAGTTCAGGAGGAGAGAGCTCCACATCATCCAAAGCCTCACCGCCTGGATTTTTGATGCACTCAAGCTCCGACTTGCAGGTCGTCAGATCTCCAGACAAGCTCCAGCCTGTTCTTACGCCGCTAACCCCTGTGAGTTTGCCTTCCTTTACCGCCGAAACATTTGGGATTAAGGAAGGATTGAAAAATTCGCCGATTAGCGTACCTCCAGTGGGTCAATCGCCGCAATCATTTAGCTCTGCAAGTTTCAATGGCTTTAAAAGTCCCGAGCTTGGATCTGTGCCAGTTTCCTCGGAATTTCCATCAATCTCGCGACCGCTTTTGAACGAACTAAATGGACTTAACGGAATGCGGTATAATTTGTCACAGGACTCTGCATTTTCGCAGAATCAAATGGATATGTTGAGTAATCCCGCCTTTTTGCTGCAGCCTCGTCCACCACTTTGTAGTCCGTCTGCGATGCCCTTTTTCAAGTACGGTTTTCCGGCCCAGGGATTTCCACCGCTAAATGGCCAACCAGTAATGAATCCATCAGGTCCGATGATGTTCGGAGCAGAGCAAAATGTTAACCGATTACCTTCATCTTCAACTACTCCAAACCCGGATGGAACGGGTTTGAACGGAGGTCAAATGGGGCCGGATAAACCAAAGACGGGATGCAACGAGGAGATGATAAACGATCTTAACTCCAAGAAAGTTAATAAAGGATACCTGTGCGAGCTGTGTGGAAAATTGTACACCCGCAAATACGGGCTCAAAATCCACATGCGGATTCACACTGGATATAAACCGCTCAAGTGCAAATACTGCCAAAAGAGGTTCGGAGACCCTAGCAATATGGCGAAACACATTCGCCTTCATGCTGTTGGAGACACTCCCTACAAATGCCAGTACTGCGGGAAAGTTCTCGTAAGAAGAAGAGATTTGGATCGTCATATAAAATCAAGGCACCCAAATGGACGCTAAATGGTAAAAATCTTACTTTTTAATTCAAATTTCTTATATCTAGAGTAAGTTTATCCAGTCAAGAAGACTTCTGTGAAGGTTTTCTTTTTCTCTGCGACATTGAACAATCGATAACAATTCAAGGCCATTGAGGACCTTTTATTCACAACAGTCGTACGCAAAGCGAAAGCCACCGTGTTCGTATCCATAGTTCATACATTTGTATAAAATTCTTCCACGTATCCAGTGTTAAGACTAGAAGACATTTATAATAAAAAAAGGATATAAGTTTGTACGATAACAGAAAAGCAAAATAAAAAACGTGCTATTTGAAATGGTTTGATGTCTACTGCGCGTTAAGCTATAATTTATTAATTTGATATTCTTTCTCGTTGCTTTCTTTCAAAACTTATTCACCAACCTGCGAAGTTAATTAAATGAATAAATTGCTTTAGCTGTCTTTAGAAATTGCCTAGAAACCATTTTTCCTTTGTTTTCAACCAAGCTTTTCAATGGGAAGACCATGAATGGAGACGAGGAAGAACTTGAAGCCGAATGAGACATAATTTTCAACGTCATTACGAAATATACCTCGTTCACTATCAGTCACCTTCCAATTTTTAAAAACTTTCTACAGATAAAAGATCAGTAAAACAGCTAAAGACTAAAGTATATCAAATTAACTGGAGGCCCAATTTTTTTCAATTATCGAGTAAAATTTTGGTTGAAAAAAGAGTGGCGTTCGATCGCTCGTCGAAAAACAACAAACCTTTCTTTTATGTATCTTTCTAATCAACATGGCCCCATACGGCTTTTGTTTTGTAAAACATATTCTTCTTTCTATTTCCTTTATTTAAACTAAAGCTGTCATTTAAATGTACTTAAAAGCCTCTTTATCGAAGAAAAGCACGACATGTAAGATAAGTTTTCAGGTGGAAAATACCGGGTATTATCAGCACGTTCAATAAATCCAACTGTAAGGACGGGAACTCCACAAAGGCGATTTAACTAGTGACAGGTTATTTTGTCTTGAGGCGAACTCGCTTATAAAAAAAGAGTTGTCCAAGCGATAAGATTCATTTCTTTTCCATGATTTCATGAAAAAGCAACGACAATGATGTTTATTTTTAAAGGTAACAAGGAATTGCGCTTGGGTGATCCTTTAATAGCTTTACAATCTCTAGGGTTGAATTTTTTATTTCAGTGTATCCTATGTACTGAATAGTGGGTGACTATGACGAGAAAATTCTTATGATCAGTATTCCAATGTTTTATTGTAACATCTGTTATATTTTTTGAAATAATTTCTGTTTTAATCGACAAGACTGTGACAGGAACTCGTTCTTTCCACCTTTCTAGGACACGCTGTATTTCGGAAATCTGAAAATATGTGAGATTACGTTCCACCTTAAATCGAAGCAAAGATTGATATTTAAACTGAAGTAAAATTAATACGATATCAAAATTTTAACCAGTAAACAAATTTCAATGAACCCACTCAAAAACAAATTCATTGTCTACTTATCCAATTTGATTTTTTTGGTTCTGACAGAAATTCTGGAGAGAACTGCTCCTCACATCGTACAACTCATTCATATCTTAGCCTGAAATTAGCGCAAGGTTGTCATGAACATGTTAATTCTAGTGTGTAGATTGCTTATAGAAGAAGTGGTTTTAAACTGAGTTGGTTAACTATAGGGAAACTCACTCAACATTTAATTGACACTTAGTCTAGCTTCCTAATGCTGATTTTACCCGCTTTTCGTGTGACCATGTGCTCAACTGAAAAAAGATCGTCATTGATCAGTCCATAAACTGAGCAAGCTCCGGGCTTATTTATAACCAGATTTGGATACTGTTTAATAGACGTTCTTCACAAAGTGATGACTAAACTATTTTTATCGTTATAAAGGAAAAAAAAATTGTGTTGACTTTTTAAGACTAGCTGGTGCATCTGCAAATAAAATGTTTGCAGAGGTTAAAAATGGATCCACATATATAGTAATTCAGACAGGTTTTTCTTTATTGACAATCAATATAAAATATAAAATTTCATAACTAACCATTGATTCGATAACAACTAAACGAGTTTTTCCAGAAAGTAAAAACTGAATTTTCACTGTTAAGTAAAACATAACAGTTTTTTAAAATAAAAATTCACATTGGCGATCACAGAGAATTGGGACGTTCGTGTTTCTAAAAACTGGAACAAGAGAGGCCTCTGTTCATTTAGAATCGTCGTCCTACAACAAAAAGAGCATAATCGTCTTATTAATTTTGTGAAATTAAACGCTCTTCAGTCTTGCAATTTTGTACATATATTTACTTGGATTGGCTAGTCTTAATAGAGCAGTTGGATTTTGTTTACTATGTCTGGATTCACGTTGCTTGAAAACACTTAAACATGGAGAAAGTTGGTATTAAGTAGTGTCAGATACATAATAATAACCAATAACAAGTGAAATGTGTCATTTTCATGACAGACAAATCTGGACAACATCATAGATGCAAGGAAAACAATTGGACTTGCTTTGTAATCGTTAAATGGGGCATTAGATGTTAGTCTGTTTTTGTTATAAACCAGGTGGAATTGAAGCAGGTGGAAAACGAAAGAAAACTAAAAAAAAAAAAAACTGAGTAGGACCTAAGGACATGGTTGGAATACCGTGCAAAAAGATTATCCTTATCCAATGAAATAGGGCCCGCCAAAATCTCGACTTGTTCTATCCGCAGTTGTTAAAACGGTAGATGACGCTATCCACCAGATAAATCTCCATCCGGTGGATAACGCGATTGGTCTCCCTAGAAACATATCCACTGGATAGTGATTTATCCAGTGGATAGCGCTATCTACCGTTCGGAACAACCGGGCCCAATGATCTCTCTGTGTTTCTAAAAGATGTTCATGCGCTCGTCTTCTAAGTTTGCCACGGATTCCAGACAATGACTTAGCGCTTGACAGGTAAGCAATAAATGCAATTTAATTTCAACTTTTTAACAACCAAGCAGGTGTGTTGCGGAAACTAGACTCCTGCTTATAATTAGTATGTTAAATGATATGTTAAATAACGCGAATCAATAACAAAAGAATGGTTTCATTAAACTTGTATTTTTCGGGCAAATATTCCCCATCAACAGGTACGGGGTTATAGTAACAGAGTTTAGTTTCGTCTGTGGCGCAGTCGTAGCTGATCTGCGACTCGATCTTGTTCTCACTGCGCAGACTTGTTTGCTGCATTTGCGGCAGTAACTAAGCAGTGTTTAAGTATTCGGTTAGGAGTTAAGGAAATGCAGGAGAAAACTAGTTCAAGCAGCTGAGTGCGAACGGTAGTTTTAATTGGTTGAGGAAAGGGAAGGGAGGAGGGAGGAGGGATGGTAAATTTTTGTCGTGGCTTTGGCTAGAAGTATAAATTGAAATATTTTTTTCAGAAGTTTATGCTATGTTCTCTCAAGAGTCCACGCATTTATTGGAATTTAATTTTATCCTAGGGTGTAAATTATATTTTCCGTTGTTTCAAAATCATTATCCCACATTTAAAATTTACCATGCCCAAAATGAGATGAAAATGAAATTGAAGTGAACTGCACACGCTGGTCCACACGTTAACTATATGAAGATCACTCTAAACGGTCTCTTGTGGAGAACCGTAAACGCACAAGACTTTGCGGGCTAAATAAAACTTAAAAATACTATTATAAACAAGATCTCAATAGGTTTGCTCTTCAAGTCATGCAGACGTCGGTAGTGACACTTACAACGTCTTTGCGACAAGACAGGCCGGTGAATAGAGGCTGACCGGTTTACCAGGTCTTAGTTTATGTTTACCTTGGCTAATTGTCTGGGCTTGTTTGCAAAACAAGAATTAGAAAAAATAAACCATAGCTGGTATTGAAAAGTTTACTGGTGTTGATCAAGGCCTGTTACTGGTGTTAAACGCCCAGCTGAACGCCGCCCATGTTTCTATTTGGAAAATCATACGCCATACGCTCAATTAATGTCACCAGGAGCATAACCATAAAAATTCCCTATTCAGTATGTAGTTTCTTAAAAAAGCGCCACCAACCTATTTGGCCAAACTAGCCAATAAATGCTCCTCCCCTAACCCCTCCCCCTCCTCCCCCCACCCCTGGCCTCACTTTGTTGAATTGTAATGGTAAAAAACTCTCTTTTTTACGTTTATGTATATTTTTTAAATTTGACTACACCCACATCAATATAGAAATAGAAAGGACAGCAGTTCTATTTTTTTCGGTATGAAGATTAAGCCAACGTAAAGTGGCAGTTCTTTAAAGCAAAGGAATTTTTTGCCCCTTATACTAAGCTCTCCTGGAAAAGTGACCAACTACTCACTGCTGGCCGAATTTTTGGAATAGACTTGGCGTTTTTTCAGGGAAAACAGTTTACAGTTGTGTAATATTTTAAGCAGTTTTGATTAGTATATGTAATATTTCTTCATACGAGAGTGACCAATTTTCTGACACGCGATCAAAAAAGAAGTTATTAGAGTCAATAAAATGAACACCAGAGGGAATGCCAACTTATTCTGACTTAATTTAGTTTATATCTGGTCTGTTTTACACTGCGCAAAGGAACTGAGTGATTTAAATATACTGCACACCTGAATATTCCATTTACTCGCAACATTTGAACCACGACGCTGTTGTCTGTTTAGATCTCAGGCTCTACGGGACAAGAACCTGGTATTTTTATCGAAGGAATAAAGTTAGCCGTATCGGCGGGGTAGTTGCAACAACCGGGTTTAAGCAATTGATCGTAAACTTTGGCTTATTTGACTGATTAACTTGTCCTAACTTGTCCTTAACTGACGGCTGTTACTGGGTGTTTTAGTTTTTACACCAACTGGTACTTTAATTTTTTTATAGTTGACTTTTGGCGCGATACATTTTTCCAGCCATTGTAAGCACCACAAATGATAGACGCCGAGTTGTTGCAGTTGATTTTCAGACCACACGTTCTCTTTCTGAAATTGGAACTTTTGGGAATTCAGCTGGAGAGTTCGCCTACATTTGACAAAGTAAGTGAGTTGGAACGATGCGATGAAGATAGAATGAGCGCGAATTCACTTTTTCAGCGATGTTTTCGCCGTCGTCGCCGTCCTTGGATCCTAAAGTTTGCACGTGACGTCACGGCGGCCATGTTGGAAGTCAAGAACAAACGCATTTCTCTCCTCTCCTGGGAACTCAGCTCTATTTTCATGTAAATTCGTCGATATTTAATTCTTTTGTTTTGACTACCAACATGGCCACTTTGTCACGTGGTTGCAAACCAAGAGTTTGGGAGAGAGGTGGGCACTTCTTTGCTGTTCTCTCAGTAACCACATATTTTTATTCTATCACATTTCGTCATTCATATCTCAATATTATGTAGAGGAGAAAGCGGCGGCTAGTGTCTCTTCACCAATGCAAGTTGCGCAACATTTTCCTCTCACGCGGAAAAAGCATGGATGACCACATTGCTCCCACTTACGTTTGAGAGCCGGTTAAATTCAAACTTAAATGCATTGTTTGAAATGTTTCTGCCCTCGTGCTGGTGGTCTACTGTATACACGAACTAAAAAACGGGAATTACATTTCATGACGGATTGCAAAAACATCTGTGTGCTGGCTCCAAATAGAATTGTAATCTGCTCCAGCAAAAGGAATTTGTGGATGTCAAAACAATATATATAATTGTAATTTTCAATCATTCAATCTTAATTGAGAGCATTTTTTCTTTGGTTTATCGAGTCCACACAATAAACCACAAACTGTCCACATGCCTGCCTTTTGCTCACAATGCATAAGCGGGCCGGGATGATGTGAGAACGATATAAACCTGTCAGGCTGATGGCACATACTGTTTACTTGCAAAGACCGGTCATTGGAGAAAAACAGTTCAGCTATGACGGCATATCCAACTTTCTAGTTTTTCGTCCTTGAAAAACCTTACACAGCTGATTTAGGCTATAACAAACACGCGTGTATTAAATAAAGGATTCTTTTGTTGCATACTTAATAACTCAAACGCGGTCTTTGTTTCCATCTCGCGGGTTTCGTGCGCCCGGATTCTTTTACTCGAGCGATGTTAAAGCTCTTTTCTGTGTAGTCTACATCTTGTATTTCTTTTTGTCCCTGCCAATTTTAAATATATATCTATTACTAATAACATTTAAAATACTGGAATTATTTACTGGGAAACAATGTGCCATATTATAATGTATTATATATTTTCTCTTACCGGTAGCCATAGTCACAAGGCGGAGATAAGGCACATGGTTGTTCTTTCGCAAGAGGGAAAGGAGCATAAAACTGTTGAGTAGGACACTTTGATATTCGTGCAGTTTAAGAACGATTCTCAGTTAATTTATTGCAAGGTATCTCCTATTGTATGCATTAAGCAAGAATTGGTGTTCCTGAACCGCAAAAATTTCTATCCACAAGAATTAACGGCTCATTATTGATAATAGTCGGTAAGATCATGAGGACATGTTTAATGTGTTTGCTTCACTGTTCATGATGACCTTATAATTTTGTAACTTATGTTGGGATTCTTGTTAAAACACTAAGTTTTCTTTAAACTCGTTAAATCAAAACACGGCTGAAAAATAGGGACGGATTCATTGCCGGTTCAATAAAAGATTGGAAATTTTTAGATGATTATTCGAATATTTCTAATACCAAAAAGAAATTAGAGGGGGATGTTTAAAATTATAGAAATTTGGCTTGGGGGTTGTCGAAAATTAACTGAATATGAAGGGAAAAGTAGAAGACAAATGCCAAATACTAATGCACCTCCAAAATAAAATGTCCATGCTCTCATAAGTGGACTAATTGATTTATGTGTATACCTTTTCCTGACCTTTTTTCTCTTTCATTCTCATCCTCAACCTAATTTCCCCCAAAACAACCCGACTGCCCCCTTAACCAAATGCACTTTATTTATAGTCTCTGATTATTTGTAGTAAAAGGGGTTCGGCCCGTTGATATGTCCTATTTGTGACGTCCCAGGCCCAAGTCGTTCAAAAGGTGAATAATACTATCCACTGGATAAAACTCTATCCAGCTGGATATATAACGCAATTGGTGCATGTATGTCCTGATACGTATCCGCTGGATAGAGCTGGATACTTCTTTATTCAGTGAATATGGCAGTCCAACGTTTAATTAACCCGGGTCGGGGCCAGGTCCCCCGTCTATGGTGGTTCCAATTTTGACCTTCTAAGTACGGTCTGATATGAGGTCAATAAATGTGATGAAACTTTCCTGCATATTCAAATCAAGTAAAAGTAAAACATAAGGTTCCTTATTTTACGTCGGTAGCACGTAAATAGATTATCGTCACTATGGCTACATCAAATCGCCCCTTTCACAGCAATAGTATTTCATTGGTGTTTATATAATAAATAGAACATTACTGACATGGCCGCGCGGAGATACGAAATCTCTCTTCCAGTGTTCAAACTATTTCACTGGCTCGCTGCGGTTTTGAAAAAACAGCCGACTTTTCGCAACGCCATGCACTAACGATTTCCCGCGAAATGAAGTCTGAGGTTTTACCGTAGAAATTCCGTGTGGAAGACATATCCGTACCCAGATCTGGGTAGTGCTTTTGTTTGGATGAAGTAAATTTCAACCAGTCGAAAGCACTCTCCAGATCATTGAGGTTAGTGACACGTTATCGGTATGTAATTACCGCGCTCTTTCGTCAGAGGTCAGTTAAGGGCGTCGCCCGCGAAATGTCGGCTGGTTCTCAGGCTTATAAATTTACCCCCTGTGAAGAGGTTCTCTGACGATTTCTTGCTTTTACGCAAAGAGCTAGGGCTTGAAAGAAAACCTTAAAAGAACAAATTCTGCGATATATAGTTCAGTGTCGTTAATTAATTTCCAGTTTTGAAAACGACCGAACAACTCACCTCCGTTCAAAGGTGAAATGATTGTTAAAACAAACCGTGTCCATGGTGGGACCGCTGCATGTGTTTTAAACTTTTTGTCCGAACAGTTTCGCAAGTGCAAGAAAAATACACAATGACGGAGCCCAGCCTTCTCATATTCGTTCCATGTTCTTGACATCTCACCTCACACACTGGAAATCATTAAAAAACATATGTATTCATCGGCCAGAAAGACGTGATTTGCAGTCAGTTTGAGGCAAAACAATTCGGATGACCCTTTTGTTGGATTGGCTGGAACTTTGGCTTTGAAATAGACTGTCCCTACGGTTTTCACAAGTAACGCACCCATTTCTTGCTGAACTGACAGTCTTCTGGGAATTCCGCACATCTTCAGCATTTTCATCTTTTGCAGCCGATTTCCGCAGGTGACTCCTTTTGTTGGTAACTTTGTACATCTTAAGTCCTTCCACGGTAAGATTTTCCCAGCTCTTCTGTTCCCTTAAATCAAATAATTCATGTCGTTGATAGTCTTCGTCCTTGTTTTTCACCTCTTCCTGTTTGCTTCTTTCTCTGCTCTGGACCTTGAAAGTCTCTGGCGAAAAATATTTTTCAAAACCCTCCTTCTTAGTGTCAGCTTCGTTGTGAAAATGTCGACAAAGAGAGCAGTAACTTCTTTTGTGTCTGTTTTTTTGCCCTCTACTTGAAGTTTCCTTGTTACAGAATACATAAACAAAATGGCGCGCTTCATCAAACAGCAAAGGAGAAGAAACAGGCGGAAAGCGATATGTCATGTTACCATGGAGACCAAGCTTACACTTTTTCTCGTCCATTCCCGTTGAAACTTTGACTTATACAATCTTGGAAATTAGAGACTGTACTTAAAGAAATATTTTTAAAAATTCAAATTAAAAATTTTAAAAGATAAGAGAAAAATTCGAAATAGTTATAACTGTAGTCCAATAACAAATTGTAATCGCTACTGTCCCTCAATGAAGGCCTCTGTCTGTTCAATTCGCACTCTTTCCAGATGAACCACGAAAGTAATGGTCAATTATGGCGAAAATTCGAAATACTTTACGATAAACAGCGTTTATACTTGGCAAACAAGCGTAAGACTTGGTCGATGCTAGTTCAAACACTGAGAGTAAATAACTCGCGGATTTTCTTCAGTAACTCGACGTCGAAACTTTTTTGGGTAGCCACAAAAAAGAAAGATTTAAAATGTTTTGTATGAAGTCAGATTTGAATTAAAAGCTGAGCCTCAAACCCTATAATATAAAGGATTCATGACTGCAGCGTTGAATCGTTACGACTCCAGCAAAACTGAGAGATAATGAAATTCCCAACAGGTGCAATCCTCGATATAAAATATTTATTACCGCAGGAAGGCAAATATTATTTGTAAACTGTTGGATATGCTAACATCGAGCATGAACCTGGTGAAGCTTAGTTTCAGTACTAAACCGAAATACTGGGAAAATGAATTACCCATTCATAGCAGTCCGATCAACCTTTCTTCACCTTAAAGTTTTATTCTATATTACCGAGCCTGATCTACACCAAGATCCGACTTTCCCGGCTCTCTGCTGTTTGTCCAAGTGGTCTCCGCGAGAATTGTTTTCGAGTAGAAATATGATTGGCTGAACCATTTGGTATATAAATTGCTTATTAAATCAATGAATGTAGGCTAATATTGTTTGCCCACTAGAAAAATAGAAGCAGAAAAGGACAAAATCAAAATTGCGAAATTGAGTCCGTTTTTTGTACGCAGTTTGTGTTTTGTTATGATTTGCAGTACAGAAGGAACTACCGTATCAGGATTTCTTAATTCTCAGTGCTTGTATCATATTTTTCCACTCTGTGCTACACCGTTTAAAAAACAGTCCACAAAAAGGCAAAGAGCACGCACAGGTCCCCTTTAATGTGTCTTCCCTAACCCTAACCCTTAGTAACGCCCACCAAGCAAGCTACAAAAGTGAACGCCGTTTGGCAAAAGAAAACATATTTTTATTTTTTACTGATTTAAGGACGCTTGGTGTTCCTTTTGAAATGGTAAAAACAGTTGCGCCTTCATCTAACCCCAAATGCTTTTTTTGGGAGGTTGATTATGCCGGAACGATAGTTCTTATAGCACTTTGAAAACTAGTGGGATCCAAAAAGAAATTAAGAGTAACTTCGCTGTTTGCTATTTCCTAATAAATATTTTAAAGTTTTCTTGGAATAATTACGTTTGCATAATAATCCCAGTCTTCTTTTATATAAGTTTGAATACCCATTTTATTTTGATAGCTACAGTCCTTTGTACATTTTCGACTCACTGGTTGTTATGTGGTTGAAGTCAATAAGGATTTCTCATATGCAATTTGTACGTAACAAAACTCAGGTCTAATGCATTAAACATAGTTGGTTGTTATTACAGGAAACTCGGCTTTGGGGCTTTTTTAATTAAATCAATATCCCAACTTGAAGAGCAACTTTCCTTTGGCTCTGCGTAAAATAACATTTCTGAGAGAAATGAAGAGCCTGACGATACAATTCTGCCGGATTCATTGAGACCTAGCAGAAGACCTGTCTACAATAAAGATTGCTTTGTGTCAGACTATCCGCTTGCTGTGACTGAAAAACTTGAAAATTCAAGAAAGATCACGGTACGGTTTTCCGTTAAGATAAATAACCTTATAAGGAGAGCCTCCTAATCGAATAACCAATCAAGAAGCTGAAAAGGGAATAGCTAGACAGAGTAAATTACATCATGTATATCAGATCAGGCTGCTTTATTTTAGCCTGCTGCCTGCTACGCAGGCTAGCTTTATTTCAAGATCATAAGAAAATCGCTCATTTCATGATATAATTACTAATTCAGTTGGAAAGCATTTCTTATTTAATTGTCTCAGTGAAGTTTATTTGGTGAAATAAATATAAAACAGTTAACTTAGCTCCCTATAGCTGGTCAGCCTTCCCTGCTAACCAGACATACAAGACTTCATGGTTGTAAAATAAAGAAACCATATAATATAGAATAAATAGAATAAAATCATATATTTCTTAACTTCTTTTTATACGATTCAATATGAAGAACTTTTTTATTAAATTTTTGTCCATCATGGCTTAAATAAACTATTTTTTTTAGAACTGTAATTGTTTTCAAAGTCTTCAAATAATTTCTTTTTATTTGTTTACATTTGCATAACATACACTTCTCAAACGCTGAGTTTTCGTTAAACTGAAAAAAGTAATCGAGCAGCTGTCAGCAAGACTTTGATAAATTGATTTCATAGATCGTATACAATGGAGAGACTTTCTAGAACACCCTCAGGAAAACTACTAACGCAAAACCCTAAGTCCCTAAAAACTTGCCGTTTTCAGCGGAATGACAATACACAACAGTTCATGCAAAATGCGCTAATGTTGTTCTAATTTGTTAATATTCACCGCATTATGTCACGATAATATGAACCTTGCTAATATTCTCATACATTTTCTGTACATTCAGTTCCAACATACGCCCGGGATTGGTTACTTAGTTTGCGTGGCCCCCAAGATATCTGTATGGCTAGTTTTGGTATCTGCGCATACGTCACTGAGTTTTACTTGCTTATACTCTGTCTTAGGTACTGTGTAGTAAGTAATTTGTCCTTTCAAGAACTCTTGGTAGTTTGTTCTTAGTTGTTGTTTTTTTTTTTTACAAGGATTTCACGAGTTCCTCAACTTCACTATGTGAGAAACGTCTGCCTTTGCAAGCTACAATCATCGTCCGGTGTCGGGAAGGTTGCCTTTTTTACTTCTTATTTTTTCTTCCTCCGCCCGCCCCTGGCCCCATGTTCAGAAAAACGTTAATGTTTGTGCGCGTAAGTGTTCTGTTATATTCCAACATTGAATTGGGGGGGGGGGGGGGGCGGGGGGGAAAAAAAAAAAA